GATTCAGTTTCCTTTTCCCCTCTTCGTGATGGGGGCTGGGGGGCTATAAATTGTATATTTATATACTTATCCTATCTCACGAGATGGATGCCCACCCAACCTCCCCTCTACTCAGATTACGACGGTTACGTATAACTCTCATTGGCCCCAAGAAGAGAATGATCACTCTGAGGTAGTCACGTGGGTAGACAGGGGAACGTGCTGCACGCTTAGCCTGGGACTAGGAAGAGCAGCCTGGGGAACACGGGTGTATGGACAAGAGAGGCCTACAGAAAAAGTTCTCATTCGTTCCACTCAGCGTCGAAGCAAGAGAGAGAAGTGCAAATCGTGAGATAGGATAAGTATATAAATATACAATTTATATTAAAATTTTCAAGTTTCATTTGTAGATGACTTGCTTGAAGTAGGTTATTGCTGAACTTTCAGGTTTCAGACAGTAACTTTTGATGAAGTGAAAACATTATAAACGCTTTGTTTTAGGTGTAACATATATATGTATGCCAAGGAGTCTGAGGCAAAAGTCTGACTGAAGTAGAATTTAAATGTATATATTTTCAGTTATGGTCATTTTAATATTAGTGTCATTATAAATAATTTATTATAATTTATTTTTGTTATGCTCATTGTAATTCCTGAATTCTGATCAGATGAAATTCTCACATGTTATTGTATTTATTTTCCAGTAGATGTATAAAACTAAGCCACACCCACCAAAGTAGACTACTTTTACCATTACATAGATTCGAGTTATGGGTTTTCAGACTTCTTTGTTGGGCATTTCAGACAGTTAAAAAAGAGCCACCTTCCCAATATATATGATATGTTTGTTACGCCACACCTCTGGTTTGTAACACACTTGATTCACTTGTTGCCCATAAACAAACATCAGTTTCTTTCTGTTAACTAAGGAAAGATATGATTGACTAAAATAATCTGATGTCCTGACTATAGTTATGTAAATAGTTTTGATAGAGTTCATTTCACATATGTAATTGTCCGTGCTATAACAGCTGTATAGAGGTTCAAAAGCTTTGCAGTAACTGGCTTTGGGTTATGTATCAGTATGGTGTGAACATTTAAAACATTATCAAAACTTTCAGTTGATGGAAAAACAAACAGGGTTCTAAGAATGAAAAAGTGTTAAAATAATTGTAAGAAATGAAATGCTAATCAGATCACAACACCATAGATGTTAGAGTTTAGAATTGTGTATGAAATACCTTTTCACTCAAGCCTTTAGGAAACGTGAACACTATATCTGTGAATTCTGTCATGGGAGATATGTAAGAGTAAGCTCCAACAGAACTACTATCCCCGTGACTGTCAATACTCCAAGGGCTTATATACGCTACGTTCATCCATCACCAACAAATACATTCAGCTGCTGTGTGGTGTGGTGTGGTCCTGTGCCTATTAAAAGTCAGCTGATGAAAGGCAACTCATGGATGACCCCCAAACTGAATCTTTTGCCAAACCTTCCATTACCTGTCATGAAAGCAATGTTTAGACCTGACAATTGCAAAGCAAAAATTTGTTTATAACAATCATTATCACAAGCATGCTTGTAACAAAGTGAACTTCATTTAATGCATTACGAGACATCTTGCCATCAGACAGCCATTTCACTGTTATTGTCTGTCTTGCCATCTTCTGTTGACGGATGTAAGCTTACTTTTGATTGGCCAGATCTCTCACTGCAACCTCGCTAGAAGCAGGCCATAGCTTATTTTACATTTGTGAGTGGTAAAGTCTTTGCAGTCTCATGTATATATGGGTGATTGAGGGACTAAGTGTTAGCACGCCATTGAGATGCTGATCAGTATCAATACATATTCTGAGTATTAAATGCTATTATGTCAAGGTGAGTGCTTGTAACCCGAGTTGTCTCCCCAGCCCAGCTAAACACCTCTGCTGGCCGCCCCAACTACTAAGCTTCCCAAGGCTTGTAGGGCTGTCTGTGTGTAGTGTCAATGTGCTTACCTTGCTGCCATGACAACAGGCTCTGTACCACCCATCAGACCAGACAGTTTGTGCATACTTGTTCACTTAGTATCATCCTAGTGTTATTTGCATTATGGCATGAGAACCTCAGTGTTAAAACAGTGTAATGTTTGAAATGGCTTGTTGCTTTTATTTAGTTCTAATATACACTAGAATCTTGATGCAAATACTTTTATTTTTTTAGTTAATATTATTACAGACAGGTCATTCCCAAATTACGAGTTAAACAATTCCAGATTGTTGTGATGCCAAGTCAAGTATATTGTGTAAATGTGTTTTCCATAGCTGCAGGATATAATGTCAGATACCATATTTCCTCTAATAAGCGCCTGGGGGTAAACCAGCAGTTTAAGAAATATATGCTGGGTCTCTAATAAGCACCAGTACGGGTTTTTTCAAATTTATTCTCCCTTGATCCAAAAATAGATTTATTAGGGAATGGTTCCTTTAGTTATAACTTCCTGTCCTCCACATGACACATGTTGATGGATATAACGTAATAAGCGCTATGTCTCCAATAAGCGCTGGGCCTCTAATAAGTGCAGAGTCTGGAAGTCCGTTGAAAAAATATGTGCGCTTATTTGAGGAAATATGGTATATGTTATTTATACATGAGTTGTACAATGTACAACAAAACATATGCATATAATATTTGGAGACAATGTTAAACATTTGAAAGGGAGTATATTTTGAATAATAATGGAACAGTGATATTTCAGAGTGCTTTATGATGAGTAATAATACAATAAGTTTATCAGACATTCCGATGAGCTGTGATTGAGTTGAATGATAGTAATACCATTGACATGCAAGCCCCAGGTTTTTATGTGATTAAGCCAACTAGTGTCAAATTATCACTGTCCTCTTTTGCCAGTAGCCTTTAACTATTTTTCCTTGCACCTAATTATTCCTTTGATACTTGTAGTTAGCATTCTATGTAGAACTGACCATCTAACATACTGGACTGTGTGGAGTGGCGTTTATTAACACTTAGCACTAACATTGTACCATTGTTGTTCTTTATGGTAGATTGTGTAACATTGTTAACACACAGGTGAAGCATCATGTACTCACCAATATGTGTTACAGACTAATCATGAAATCAGTGTGTCAGCCATAAGTGGAATATTTAAGGGGCTCCAAGATTTATACAGAAGATGAAATCCCTGAGCCCTCTTAATTCCAATCGCTGCTCTTAGTGTTCATGATCAGGTGATGTCCGGAATGTATTACATTGCTGGAACAGTTCCTGCTTCATACTTATTACCATGTTACCATGTGTGGTTGATTAACATCCAGTAGCCATTAGTTGTAAAGCCCAGGAACAAAGCTTTCTTCAGATCCAATGTGTGTGCCTACTGTGAAGGGCCAGTCCTATGGTGTAGCATTATGTAACACACACCCCTAAACCTAGAGATGTTACAGCTTATATATATTGGAATACTGAGTGTAGGCATAAGGTCTTAGTCTGGGTCAGTAAGGGAACTGCTTCGTGGTATACAGCTATTACTTGGAGGATAGAATGGTAGGAGTGATTCTTTTCTTTGCATGCGTGGTAGTGTTGATAACAAAGATTGTGTGTTTGTTGCATACTTGCAGATCTCATTCCCTCGTCTGTGTATGGTTTGCTGTACTGGAAGTGATGAGTGAATGTTGTTTGATGTTTGACACGGTCTTGCAAGGAAGAAATCCTAAAACTGCCGAAACACTTTCTGATTTCTTGTTTGTCAGATACAGTTGAATAATCTTCATTACAGTTGAGTAATGTCTTAAAACAAAAGAAAACTACCGTATTTCCTCTATTAAGCGCCGGGCCTCCAATAAGCGCCGGGTATAGACTGAAGGACAGATGGACAGAATGAAGGCTTTGTACTCATCCCCGCTTTTAAAAATACAGGGTATTTTAATAAACGCCGGGCCTCTAATAAGCGCCGGGTCTGGAGGTCCATTGAAAAAATATGCGCCAGAGGCGCTTATTAGAGGAAATACGGTAAATTCTGTGTGTGTGTGTGTAAGCAACAAGGGGAAAAAGTGAGACAATTCAGATGTGGTATAAAGTGTTATATGATTAGATGGCTTCCAGATTTACTGTTAGAAACTGGCTTGTGTGGTTGTATTGCATGACTGGAGGAAATGACTTTTGACATATGGCATTATGAAGAAGCAGTTTGTGAAGTTGTCCTGTGGTATATATTTTCCTCCCTGGATCTTCTTCTTTTGTTGTCTTGAGTTGCTGACATTGATGGCCTACATGACAACTTAAAGCATGCATCTTGTCCTCTTTGATGTGTTGTTATGAATGATGTGCATTTTAAGTAGAATGTTATATTCATCATTTTCAGGTCAGTTACATAGAACTCCAGACCAGTATGAACACCCTTGTGTTGAACAGTCTTGTTGATAATATCTAACAGTAGTGACTGTGTTACTCACATCTTCTATAAAACATTTGAAAATTTTGCTAACCGAGTTGATTATGAATTAATAACTGCTTTCATTGCCCATGTAGGTAAGGTATTTGATAGCAAGGTGAGTTGATGGAAAGACTAAATAATGGTTCAAGAGTTATCCTAGTTAGATGTTCACCAGACAAATTAATGTTAACTTTCTCGTTAAATGTCAAATTGTCCAAATGCTGTTTCATCCTTGTGTCCATCCGTTTCATTTTCGTTTTATTTTACTTGTTTGGAAATGGACATAGAATGTTCTCAGTCTCACTTACTTGTCCCAATGTTCTTGTTGTATATCCGTGATGTGGATGTAATATGGAAAGTATGAAGTCCTCCCTTGTATTCTGGGTATTGAAGATTCTAGGGGATGAAGGTCCTCTTTACTATATGCTAACAGCCATGTAAATTTCATTAATTATTGGCAGCATTGTTTTACCATAAAGCAAGTGTTTTTATGATGAACAAGTTATCAACTTGATGTTGACTTCTGCAGCACTAACTGATGAAGCTCTCAGAGCCTCAGTCTATTTCCAGTCTCTTCTGCTTCAGAAACAAGAACATGTTGAGGAGGAACATACCCCTAAGGGCAAAGGTCGGCGCAGTGCTGCAGGCGACAGCGAGAAGAAGAAGTCCACCAAGAAGAGCCCTGAAGATGGGGGCATGAAGAGGAGGATGTGGATTCTCTACAAGACAGTGTTTGACTATACGGTCAGTCTGGCTGGCACAGTCACATGTCTTCACAATTGGGGAATATGTGTATATTACTTCATGTGCTCTCAGTTGTTTGGTCCAGACTCGATTATTTACAGACCGCCTCCATATATCTGAATATTGCTGAGTGTGGCGTAAAACTAAACTAGTAAAAGTATGTCCGTGCTTAGCTACAATATTTCTGCAAGGGTTTTTAGAATCTGTGTCTTAACATCATCATGGCCCAAAGTCTGTTATCTTGTCTGATGCTGTTGGTCACTTGACTGTCTGATTTTGCACATAATGTTGTCATGGCTTTTTCTTTTAATTCATGGACTAACCTGGTGGCCAAGTTGAGAAATTTTGTACTTGAGCTAATATTACTGTTATCAGTACTATTCTTTGTTGAGGAGAATAGTTCTTTGATTAAACTTGAAGTGTTGTCAGCTGCGTATCAGGTGGAATCAGTAGTCCAACATGGTGGTGAATTAAAAGCTTGTATGCCTATGTTGTTCCAGGATGGTGGTGGCCGACAGCTGCGACACATCTTCATGGTGCTGCCGTCACGGAAAGACTACCCCGACTACTACCAGGTGATCATGGAACCCATCGACATGGGCATGATTGAGACGAAAATCAGGAACGAGAAGGTAACACAAACTTTCAATATCTAACACATGATTAGTACTGACAGAATCTGGGTATAACACCAGTCTTCGGGGTAATTGATATTTGCACCTAATTCTTAACATGATTCCAGTTTTTGTTACTTATGTTGGCTGTTGTTAGTGCCCACTCACACATGGTATTGCTGCCCATTTGTTCAGACATTTCAAACTATAATGCTTCTGACAATCTTCTTATTTGAAAAGGATATTTGTCATCAGATATCTTTTTTTGATAATGGTCCTGTATGAAGTGGATCAGATTTATTCTTACTTCTGCCGGAAGGATTGTGTTTGAATTCTCTCTGTTAAATGACAGGTACTGCATTGATTAGTTCAGTGATGTAGTTTGACTACTTAGCCAGCCATGCATTGTTTAGTTTAGTGATGTAGTGTGACTACTTAGCCAGCTTTGCAATGTTTAGTTCAGTGAAGTAGTGTGACTACATAGCCAGCCATGCATTGTTTAGTTCAGTGAGTGACTACATAGTAGTGTTTAGTTCAGTGATGTGACTGCAGCCAGCCATGCATTGTTTAGTTCAGTGATGTAGTGTGACTACTTAGCCAGCCATGCATTGTTTAGTTCAGTGATGTAGTGTGACTACTTAGCCAGCCATGCATTGTTTAGTTCAGTGATGTAGTGTGACTACTTAGCCAGCCATGCATTGTTTAGTTCAGTAATGTAGTGTGACTACTTAGCCAGCTTTGCATTGTTTAGTTCAGTAAAGTAGCTGATGCAGTGTGGTGACAGTCATCTCTGCTTGTTCCAGTATGCCAATGAGCAGCAGCTGCTGAATGACTTCGAGCTGATGTTCAACAATGCCCGCCACTACAACGAGGAGGGGTCCCAGGTGTACCAGGATGCTAACACCCTAGACCGGGCACTCAAACACAAGTGGCGCTACATGAGCTCAGTTGCCCCATCCAAGTCAGGCAAGGCTTCCAGGTGAGGAGAGGTGCCTTGTGAAGATCTAGTGTTAGTTTACCAGGATTTGGCTTCCAGAGATGTGGAATAAATATTGACATATCTTTGTCATTTGCCTGAAGCTCTTTTATTATACATGTCATATTTGAAAGCAAGCCAGAACTTTGACTATTGGCCAGTCAAACCTATCCATGCTGGAAAGGTCAAAGGTGACATCCAAATCTAACCATGCTGGAAAGGTCAAAGGTGACATCCAAATCTATAAATGTTTTAAAGGTCAAAGGTGACATCCGGATCTATCCATGTTTTAAAGGTCAAAGGTGACATCCAAGTCTATCCATGTTTTAAAGGTCAAAGGTGACATCCAAGTCTATCCATGTTTTTAAGGTCAAAGGTGACATCCAAATCTATCCATGTTTTAAAGGTCATGTTTTAAAGGTCAAAGGTGACATCCAAATCTATCCATGTTTTAAAGGTCAAAGGTGACATCCAAATCTATCCATGTTTTAAAGGTCAAAGGTCATAGGACCATAGACCATAGATAAGTTTGAAATTCAGATATGTATTTATTTATGTATATGTCCAGTGTGTATGTTTGTGTTGTGAGCAGCAAGCCCAAGTCGAAGATGTCATCCCCCCTGATTCAGAAGCTGCAGGACCTGTGTGAGACCATCCGGGACTACCAGGACAAGTCGGGAAGAGTGCTGTCTACACCCTTCCTCAAACTACCTCTCAAGAGTGTATGTACAACTTGTCCATGCTTCTGGGTTGTTGTAGGGAAAGCATCCTATATTAGTTATTACAGCACACAGGTGATGTTTCTGAGAGCTACTGAGTGTTGATACCTGTTTATGGGTTAGTGTTCCTGACTGTCTGACTGGTTACAGGACTACCCTGACTACTACGAGGTGATCAAGCGGCCGGTGGACATGCAGCGGATTCAACAGAGAATGGAGTCCAGCCACAACAGATATGAAAGTGTGGAGGACATGGTGGCCGACTTTGTACAGATGTTTGACAACGCCTGCAAGTACAATGAACCAGACTCTCTCATATACAAGGTAAGAGGGCATTCCTGCTGTCATATTGTTGTAACAAACCTTTTTTGAGAGCATATTTCAAAATATATTTAGCATGTCATATTTTTTAGATGATATTTTGATATCAATTTACAGGTTGTTTTTGATCACAAATTTTGAAAAGGACCTTCGGTCTTACAGGTCCTGTACTTCTGTACAACTAAACTGTTTGAACTGTCTCCCTTTGCTGTGCCAGGATCTGCTGATCTTTCATTTTGTATAAATGTCAGACTCACCTTGATCATGATCGGGAGGTGCAGCTCACTGACTTGGTTGCCACATGTCATCTTATCCCAATTGCCTAGATTGATGCTCATGCTGTTGATCACTGGATTGTCTGGCCCAGACTCGATTATTTACAGACCGCCGCCATATAGCTGGAATATTGCTGAGTGGCGTTAAACAACAAACCAACCAACCAACATTATTCATTTACTCGCGTCATCAGGTGACATAAGATTGATTGGCCATTTCTGTAACAGGATGCACTGACTCTGCAGCGTATCTGTCTGGAGAAGAAGGTGGAACTGACGTCTGGTGGGATGAACAATGTCCCTGATGTCAGGGCTGTTGTACAGGAGCTCATGACCAACCTCTTCATCTCCTGCTACAACTACCAGGTACAGCATCGCAATAACTACTGCAATATAGAACAAACTTTATGGATAACAACTTCTTTTTATTCGTGAGTGCGACGTTTCGATACAGATTCTTGTACCGTTGTCATCTTTGCATCTGGTCATATTGGTGATACATTCTTTTCCCCTGAGCAATTTTGGGTAGGTCGGACGGGCAAGTGATTTAATGTGTTCTCTTGGGTGTTTGGATGTATTTTGAGCCTCTCCATGATATTGCTGACTAAAGCAGCTACTACGAGGAAATAGGATACAAACTGTAAAATACAAAGAGATTTCTCATGGATGTTGGGATATGTTTTGAACCCTTCCATGATATTGCTGACTAAAGCAGCTGCTACAAGGAAATAGGATACAAAACTGTAAAATACAAAGAGATTTCTCATGGATGTTAAGGTATGTTTTGAACCTCTCCATGATATTGCTGACTAAAGCAGCTACTACGAGGAAATAGGATGCAAACTGTAAAATAAAAAGAGATTCTGTTCTTCTTTTCTGCTTTAACTGTCTGACTGTGACTCATGACATGAACATTTCAGGACGAGGAGGGTCGCTGTTACAGTGATTCCTTTGCTGAGCTGGTTGACAAGGATTCCAGCGCAGAGGGAGAGGAACCTGTAGAGTATGTATTCCTTGCCCTTCTTGAGCAATAGTCACTATCAGGAATATATGAGATGGGTTATTATTTTGTATGGTTTCATATCCATGCTTTTTAGAGGGATATGTAGTGAATCATATTTGATGTATACCTCTGTTGACTGTACACCCAGTAAGTATGATTAGTTATCTAGGCTATTTTATAGTTTACATTGTGAAGTGTAACTACTTACAGATATTGTACCACCATAGTGAACCTTAAAGACGGAAAATGTAGAGGTTTAAAAGTCAGAAAGAAACAAATCACCAGACTAAGAGTTACTTCCCTTCTTTGACTTTGCACACCTTAATGAACAAGAGAAGTAGCATCATGATTTATACATTAAGACAATATTGTGAATATGTCTATGCCAGGGTCCCTTTTCACAAAGCTGTTGTAGTGCCTATACTGTGACATAGACCTGCAACAGTCATAGCGTTATGATAGCTTTGTGAAAAGGGGTCCAATCTGCTAACTGACTTGCAGTGTAGTATGGCTGAGACTTGCTGATTAGAAAGCAACAATCTTTGATGATGATACATATTGCCTTCTCTTACAGAAAGCCACCAACATTTGACCACATCAAGAGAAACTTGGATAAGGTAACTGTTGTCATTATAGACATTATAGATCAGTGTTATTCTTTGTGTTATATTCTTGGAACGAAGCTTGATTCATATGACAAGTTTCCTTGATATAGGATATATGTAAACAATACATGATCAGCTGTGCCTTCACACGTGTATATAGTGCTTTGTCTCCTTTACATAAATCTAAGCTCAGATGTAGTGAAAACATTAAGTTACATTTCTGAAGCTTGGGATGATACCCAGGTTATGCAGCTGTATTTAAGATTTGTCTGTCTGCCGTCTTAGGGCCGGTACCGGAGAATGGACAAGTTCCAGGAAGATATGTTCAAGGTGTTTGAGTATGCCAGGAAGGTCAGCAGGACAGACTCTCAGGTAGGCAGACTTAACAGGATAGGAGATCTCCAGGTTGTGTTTGTATTTATCAGTAAAGAAAATCTCCTTTTACTGCCCAATGGTTTAGTGGAAATGGGCAATTTTTTATTTGGCCAAAATCACTCTTTTTCGATTTCTATCCAAATATTCTTTAGAATGAATAGAAAGAGATGCCAGCACATTTGAGTCTTTTTGATCTTCTACTCTTTACTTACCAAGTTACATTTACTGTCTCATAGGGGTGTCGCGATACGCGAATGTATCGATGCATCGATACATTTTTACTGACGATACGATACGCGATACATGCTTGCGTGTATCGATTCCTATTTTAAAACTTTATCGATTCAAATTTGTATGCTATATCCATCTCCTTCAAAGTCTTGATAGTAAAATTATACGAGACCGCTCCGATAAATAGATGTAGCTAGCTTTACTTAAAAAATAGGTTGGAAACTAACAGCTTTTGTGATTGGCTTGACTATTTTGATGGACCAATCAGCGAGCGTGTACGTTGCCGGTAAGGTAATGCTATGAAAAGGCGCGAAAATTATGTATCGCGATACGTATCGTATCGTGACCTTAAAATCGTGATACGTATCGTATCGTGAGATTGGTGTATCGTGACACCCCTACTGTCTCACCCTCAGTTCATAATAGGGACAGTGGGATAGCCTACTGTTTAAAGCGTTTGCTCATCACACTGAAGATCCAAGTTGTATTCCCAACATGGTACAATGTGTTAAGCCCCTTTCCGGTGTCCCCTGCCATGATATTGGTGGAATATTGCTGAAAGCGACGTCAAGCTAATTTCACTCTCTCACCCTTTTCATATTATGGAAAACGTGCAATGTTAAATCCTCCTGACGAGCTGTTTCTGCTACAGCTTTATGAGGATGCTGTGGAGATGCAGATGTTCTTCATCAAGATCCGTGATGAGCTGTGTAAGAATGGTGAGATGCTGCTGACGCCGGCTCTCAGCTACACAGAGCGCCACCTTCAGTCTGCCTTGGAGATGGAGAAGAAGGAGAAGCTGCCCTTGGAGCAGAAGGAAGATGAAGAGAAGAAGAAGCAGCAGGAGACGGATGAACCAACAGAAGACAGAGCCATGGTAACACTGCTGGCATTATAACTGCTTGCTGAACTGTGATTTGACTTGTTCCTTAGCTGCCAACATGGGATTTAACTCTTACCAGGACTGTGATTCTTGTCTGCATCATGCCTGTTGACCAAAGTGATATAAGTCATAAGACTGAATATTCGGGCTTTCCATCGTCAGTTAGCCAGTATAGTTTCTCTAATTCTAAACCCATGAAGATCCGGGTTAGAATTGATCGTCAGTTACCCATGCTTGTCTAAAGAGACAACTAATGGTATCGGGTGGCCAGGCTCGCTGACTTGGTTGAAATATGTCATTGTATCCCAGTTGCGTAGATCGATACTCATGCTCTTGATCACTGGATTGTCTGGTGCAGACTTGATTATTTACAGACTGCTGCCATATAGCTGGAATATTGCTGAGTGTGGCGTAAAACTGAACTCACTCACTCACTTACTCTCTAATTCTGTTATGATAAATGCCCTGGACTCCTTCCCTGCCTTAGCTTTGCATCGCAGCAAGAGGATTTCTGATGACTATTGGTGAATGTGTCCAGATTATTTGTCAGATTTGTTAGAAAACCGTGAAAAATTTGATGGCCAGTGTTATGTCTGGTCACCTATCTTCCATGTTATTTTACTGAACGTCACGATCACACATTAACTGTTTTTATCCCCCGCAACGAGTATTAAAAAGGACTCCGTCCGTGCACATTTGTCTTTTCCGGAGCAGAACTTTAAAACCATTCAATATTTCTTCACCAGACTTGGCACATGGATAGATCTGGTGGTGTCCTTGTGCCTTTTGGTAGTTTTGGTATTCTGAATTAAATATTTTTGGTGTTTCCATGGCAACAAGTTTGACTTAGACTGAAATTGGTGGTAGTGCTGTTTCCGGAGCAGAACTCTAAAACCGTTCAATGTTTCTTCACCAAACTTGGCACATAGATTGGTCTAGTGGTGTACTGGTGCCTTTTGGTAGTTTTGGGTTTCAGAATAAAATATCTTTGCATTTCCATGCCAACAAGTTTGTCTTAGACTGAAACTGGTGGTAGTGCTCCTTACTGGAGCAGAACTTTTAAAACCTTTCAGTACTCTCCTTCCACCTTTCTGTATACACACCAAAACATTTGACATAATCATAACTCGTAGACATATTCATGAAGAGTATTTTGCCATTGCGGGGAATATTGATGACTTTGTCTTCTTGTTTGTATTGTCTCCATTGTCTCCTTCAGGACCAGGCTGACCTGAGTGAAAACAGTGTGAAGGTGAAGGACCAAGTGTACACTGTTGGTGACTTCGTCTACGTGGAACCCAGGTGATGATCTCCCTTTATTAGTCATGGAGAATGCATGCAGCCAGAGATATCTATCCGTCATCAGACAGGAGTGACAGTGTTCTAGAGCTTACTCTCTATAGGCTTGTGTTCATTCTAATCTCCACCTTTACTCTGCTGATTCAAATAAAACAAATCAGGAATGTTATTTGTTCAGAAAAAAATAGATCTGACCTTCAGTGCATTATATGCAGGGATCTTGCTAGAGACAAATGGCTTTTGAACTTTTTATTGATGTTATTAACTTTGGAAAGTCTTCAGTATTATTTAGTAATTTGAATAAAACACTTTGCGCTTTCTGGGTGACAAGATGCCTTTTGACCCAGAAAGTGAACCAATCTGACACCTTTGATGTGTACAGATTGTTGATCTGCTTACCTAGTATGAGACCATTCAGAATATTGATTTATTCACAAGAATCTACATATGTGGAGATTTTCTAAACATGAACTGTGTATAATGTACATACATTTTGAACTGATATTCAACATATTATTCCATAAAACCTTAATGTGTTATCTGGAACCAAATCCAAGATGTGTGGTTTAGTGTTTGAATCAGCAGAGACAAGTAGTATCAGTTCAGTCTTTGTTCTGGAACTATTACCATTATTGTCACTTTGCTTTGTCTGAAATTGTAACGGATTGTAGATTAAGTAATAATTGAGGTTGGTGTATAGCTTCTGTGGCTTCCAATTGGCATGAATATACTGGTTATAGTTGACAGACTTTCTATTGTCAAGCAGGGACAAGTCGCATCAAATAAATGGGTTCTATGGTTGTCTAAGGACAAACAGCTATGAGTGCCACTCAAGTGCTTTTTAACAATATGACGGGATGGACTATCTGCTGGGCCACTGATGACTTGTAGCAAATACTGTCTTATTTCTGCTGGCAATGGGCAAAGGATTAGTAGTTCATTCAAGTCCTGCTGCGTAACTGTAGTGTAACGTGGGAGAGAGTATGGAAGTGTTTAGTCATCATATCAATGAGCCATTTTTATTTGTCATCATGGGTACAGTATGTGGACTTGGTTCAAAATGTCAACTCTCTCTCTCTCTCCCCCTGAAACATGAAAGCAGATAATGTATGGGCCTCACATTTTGGACTTGTTCATTAATGTTGGTGTTAAAGCAGGCCACAGTGTTTGGTATTTACGATGCTAGTTCTGCTAGAATTGCCAGTGTATTCTTCTGGTTGGTATATATCTGACATTTAGTGTATTCTTTATGTTCTATAGACTACATATAGCACCCAGTGTAGTATACCTATAGCACGTACCTACCTCATATTGTGAAACTAACTCACATGTCACCGATGACCTTCAGGAAGAACATCAGAATTGCTATGAAACTCAAATGACTTTCGAACTGTTAAAACCATCAACAGTCTGTAACTTCCACTGTCCAAAGCCTGAATTTTGTTAAAAGTTGACAGGAGGCCAAGGTCATTTAGCTCTGCAAAATACAAATGGCCTCATTTTCTGGTATGGGGCCCAATAATTTCCTGACTCATAAGGTCACTCTGCTGGGGTATCTGTTTGCATTCTAATCAGGGTGAAGTATAGTGTTGATTAATACATGGAACCAGTATGATTGGGAACACAACTGAAGAAGTCGATTGCTGAAGACCATCTAGATGTGTTATTGTAGCAAAGTAACTATTGAAATACTATAGGGTGTCTCTTTTTACCTTTGCAGTAGACATTTGATGTGAATTGTGTTATAGTTTGTCCTAGTTGTTGAAAGTTGTGTAACAAGACATAGGTTTATTAGATATTGCCTTTTTGCTAAGATTTCTGATCTTAAAAATTTCATGATCTTTGTGATAGATGATTTAATGTGACAGAAACGTAGAAATTAATTATGACCCCAACAGCTTTTTGAAATAGTCAAGTTCATGTCTCAAATGTGAGCTTCAATATTCTGAAATATCATGTAATTTGTAAAATTCATTTTGAAATTGTTATTATCTTTTATCTTGTTTCAGTAATGAAAACTGAATTAGTATTCTGATTCTAGTTGAAACATTTGTGACACAGTGCTTGAATCTTCTGATTGCATGTCTGAGTTCATAATCATCACCATCTCTGAGCTGCATGTGTTCTTTGATCTCTCTCTCCCTGTCCCTGCCCCACCAACCACCTGCTTACATCTGCTGTCATCTGCTAACATGCATCTAGGCTAGCTATTGCTCACTTCGCTAACCTCTGGCATCATACCCATAACATCTCTCTGCATGACCAACTTAACCATATCATTAGTTTGAAAAATCACAATCTCATCCATCAAATGCATGATCTCATTGATTCACATGCATTACGACAGGACCAAACTATTATTTAAGCTTCGTATGATCTCTGCTGCACAAAGTGTATGATTTCTTCATGACTATTATACTTGTTTTCGCTACGGAGCATGTAAAATGAATCCTTGAGTATACTTTGGCTGATAGCATAAATTGCATAAAGTACCTATACTGACCTAGTGAGCTGGCTTACATACATTGACACACACTGCCACGGCCCTTGCTAAACCCCTGCCCTTCTCGGCGTCCTCGGACTGCCAGATCTTTCGCCTGTGGGACTTTCAGAGAACCAGAGCTGCTGCCTCACATCATGCTCATCGAGAAGTTCATCACAGACAGCAACGGCACACAGATGATGCAGGGCAACTGGTTCTACAGACCAAACGAGACATTCCACCTGGCAACGAGGAAGTTCTTGGAGAAGGTACTTGACCTGACACTCAGGGTTTTACCTTGTATGTTTGTAGGTGAAATAGTGGTGTATTATTTTAACAGATTTTTTAATGTTGATTATCATTCTAAATGTTCATAACATTTCTCTCAGTTAAGATATGGATTTTCCAGAGCTTCTGAGGTTTAATCTGCCATTGATTTTTGTAGTGGCAAATCAGCTTGGTTGGAAAGATGGGTCTATCCATGCAAGAAAGTGAGAGAGAGACATGCCTTGAGAAAGAGTGTGTGTGTTTCTACTGTAGCACTGATCACAGATGTTGTGAATGGATGCCGTGTCATGCATGTTTATCCCCTATGAAATCGTAATTCACCCAGATTACCAAGATTAGTCAGCACCTTACCATTGGGTTTCATCAAAGTGTTCAATACATGTGTTCTAGGCGTGGTGTTTGTGAGGTGTAATGGGGAGTCCTGGGTGTGGCGTTGTGAGGTGTAATGGGGAGTCCTAGGCGTGGTGTTTGTGAGGTGTAATGGGGGAGTCCTGGGTGTGGTGTTTGTGAGGTGTAATGGGGAGTCCTAGGCATGGTGTTTGTGAGGTGTAATGGGGAGTCCTAGGTGTGGTGTTTGTGAGGTGTAATGGGGAGTCCTGGGTGTGGTGTTTGTGAGGTGTAATGGGGAGTCCTGGGTGTGGTGTTGTGTGAGGTGTAATGGGGAGTCCTAGGTGTGGTGTTTGTGAGGTGTAATGGGGAGTCCTGGGTGTGGTGTTTGTGAGGTGTAATGGGGAGTCCTGGGTGTGGTGTTTGTGAGGTGTAATGGGGAGTCCTAGGTGTGGTGTTTGTGAGGTGTAATGGGGAGTCCTAGGTGTGGTGTTGTGAGGTGTAATGGGGAGTCCTGGGTGTGGTGTTGTGGGAGGTGTAATGGGGGAGTCCTAGGCATGGTGGTGTTTGTGAGGTGTAATGGGGAGTCCTGTAGTGTTTGGTCCTGTGGTGTTGTGAGGTGTAATGGGGAGTCCTGTAGTCCTAGGTGTGGTGTTGTGAGGTGTAATGGGGAGTCCTAGGTGTGGTGTTTGTGAGGTGTAATGGGGAGTCCTAGGCATGGTGTCCTAGGTGTGGTCCTAGTTGGTGTTTGTGAGGTGTAATAGAGTCCCTAGGTGTAGGTGGGGAGTCCTAGGCATGGTGTTTGTGAGGTGTAATGGGGGAGTCCTAGGTGTGGTGTTGTGAGGTGTAATAGGAGTCCTAGTGGTGTTTGTGAGGTAAGTTCTAATGTGTTGTCCTAGGTGTGGGTGTAATGGGGAGTCCTAGGTGTGGTGTTTGTGAGGTGTAATGGGAGTCCCTGGGTGTGGTGTTTGTGAGGTGTAATGGGAGTCCTAGGTGTGGTGTTTGTGAGGTGTAATGGGGAGTCCTGGGTGTGGTGTTTTTGTGAGGTGTAATGGGGAGTCCTGGGTGTGGTGAGGGGTGTAATGGGAGTCTAAGTGTGTTTCCTAAAATTGAAAGTGAGGTGTAATGGGGAGTCCTGGGTGTGTGTTTGTGAGGTGTAATGGGGAGTCCTGGGTGTGGTGTTTGTGAGGTGTAATGGGGAGTCCTAGGTGTGGTGTTTGTGAGGTGTAATGGGGAGTCCTAGGCATAGGTGTGGTGTTTGTGAGGTGTAATGGGGAGTCCTGGGTGTGGTGTGAGGTGTAATGTCCTGGGTGTGGAGTGGTGTAAGGTGTAATGGGAGTCCCAGGTGTGTGTGAGGTTTGTGGTGAGGTGTAATGGGGGAGTCCTAGGTGTGGTGTTTGTGAGGTGTAATGGGGAGTCCTAGGTGTGGTGTTTGTGGAGAGTGTAATGGGGAGTCCTGGGTGTGGTGTTTGTGAGGTGTAATGGGGAGTCCTAGGCATGGTGGTGTGAGGTGTAATGAGGTCCCTAGGTGTGGTGTTTGTGAGGTGTAATAGGAGTCCTAGGCATGGTGTTTGTGGGTGTAATGGGGAGTCCTAGGGTGTGGTGTTTGTGAGGTGTGTCAGGAGTGTAAATGGGGAGTCCTAGGTGTGAGTGTGTAATTCCCAGTGGTGTTTGTGTGTAATGAGTCCTAGGGTGTAATGGGAGAGTCCTGGGTGTGGTGTAAATGTGAGTGTGGAGTGTAATGGGGAGTCCTTGTGAGGTGTAATGAGAGTCCTAGGTGTGGTGTTTGTGAGGTGTAATGGGGAGTCCTGGGTGTGGGGGAGTCCTGTTGGTGTCGTGAGGTGTAATGGGGAGTCCTGGGTGTGGTGTTTGTGAGGAGTGTGTGAGGTGCCTTATTCATATAATGGAGGTCCTGTGTGGTGTTTGTGAGGTGCCTTATTCATATACCTGTTTCTTCTCTCCCAACAGGAGGTATTCAAGAGTGACATCGTCACCAGCATCATGCTGACACAGATTATAGGAAGATGCCATGTCATGTTTGTCAAGGAGTACTTCAAGTTTAAACCAGAGGTCAGTTCCCACACTAGATGAAGCGTGACATCAAGTTGTAGATTCAGTAGTTCTTGTTGCATGGAGAGTTACACCGCTACATCCACTACACTCATCGTTGAATCTGCCCACATGAAGCACAGTCTCCATCAGCTGACAAATTCAGTCCATATAAGAATGCAATTCATAGTTTCTTTGTAAATCATGTGCACTACAAGTAAGTGATGAAAATGGGTTTGAAGCTCCCCTTGTGGATAAATGCCAACTGGACAAGTAGGTACTCTCGGCTGAGGACTCACTTTACAATACTTTGTATGACAACAGATGCATGGTGTCTTCTGTATATTACAGGGTATTCCGGACAAAGATGTGTATGTGTGTGAATCTCGCTACAATGCCAGGCACAAGGCATTCAAGAAAATTAAGGTAACTTTCAATATGATGTTTTTGTAAGTTATTTAAGGCAGTGGCAGGGTGGTATATATTCGGACTTTTTGTGTTTGGCAAAGTTTTCTATTTTGGAACTACCATTATTACATGTCCCTTACAAAAGTTATTAAAACATTCTTGTACGTTTCTTCTTGTGATGTCATTTTGCTCCCAAACACAAAACCTCTGTTATTGTCTTGGATTGTTCAATAATGATTAACACCGATTAGAACAGGAAGCCAAGTACTTCTTCATCCAGACTGAGTTGTGACTTTTATCACTGAAGGTGCTTGTCATCATCACAGAAAACATGTTGCCTGTTGTGTAGATCTGGTCTGCTGTGAAGAATGAAGAGCTGAAGATCCTCCCCCGAGAGCTGCCCATGTCACCAGTGAGGGTGTCATCAGTGTTTGCTGACAAGACCAGTGATGGCAAGGACGAGGATGATGGCGAGACCAGCGTCCTGGACAAAGTCAGACAGGTGGGTTCACGAGTACACTGCTCCTTCCTTTCCAGCTATACTTATACTGATTTCATTCATGAATTAAACTTCAACTTGTATATGGAACTGCTAGAACAGTGGTCTCTAAATAATTCTTTGCAAGTGCTTGATTAATAATTCTAATTCATTTGTTATTAGACCTTATAATATTAAAATAACTTGTGAGGTATTTGCATAATAACTCTGTGTTTGCAGCATACAGAGTTATGTTGAATTGTTGCTAGATTTATCTCCTAAACTGCCTTTTACTATTTTCAGACTGTATTGGCAGAGGGCAGCTCTGAAGATGGACATACAAACTATGAACAGTACATTATTGGTTCTAGTTGTTTCAAACTTGGTAGGTGGTTCTGCGTTTAATCTTTTCAGTGTTTTATTGAGGCAGGACAAAATATTCTTTGTAACATTTTTGTTCCATTTGTGGCTTTGAAAGTAACTTGCATATCTCATAAAAGATCTTGTTTGTACTTAGGTGACGCTGTGTATGTGAGGTCAGATCGTGATCGACCGCTTGTCGCCAGAATTGACAGAATCTGGACCAGCCCAACGTAAGTGTGTGCAGCCTCTCAAGGATGTCTCCATCATGTTATATAGTTGTCATGACAACCTTGTCCAAGCTTATTATTCTTGCAGCTCATTCTTTTGTTGAGACATGTTTATTATCTCCTGTTTTTAAGGGCGATGGGGTAGCCCAATGGTAAAAGCATTCTTTTGTTGAGACATGTTTATTATCTCCTGTTTTTAAGGGCGATGGGGTAGCCCAGTGGTAAAAGCATTCTTTTGTTGAGACATGTTTATTATCTCCTGTTTTTAAGGGCGATGGGGTAGCCCAGTGGTAAAATCGTTCGCTCATCACGCTGAAGACCCTGGTTCGATTCCCCACATGGGTACAATGTGTGCAGCCCATTTCTGGTGACCCCGCTGTGATATTGCTGGAATATTGCTAAAAGCGGGGTAAAACTAATGTCAGGTCACTTGTAAGCCAGTGATGTCACATGGTGGTGCTGGTGGTGGTGGAATTGGGTTTTACGTCATGCTTGAGAATATTTCGCTCATATGACGACGTGCATGCGTGTGTATGTGTATGTGCGGCTGCTTGTACTAGCCCAGACTGAAGCTGGTTTTATAGTGCTAGCCCACTGAGATACCATGCCGCAGTGAAGCATGAATACCCCACTCAGACACATTATACTGACTCGAGCCGACCAGTCCTTGTTGTACCCATTAATGCCGAGCGCCAGGCAGGGACCAACATGTACCATATTTTAACGTCTTTTCGTATGACGCGGTCGGGGATCGAACCCGCGTCATAACCACTACACCACGGAGGCGGTCTTGAGTTTGGATTGAGTGATCAGTTTGGATTTTGGTTTCAGTGGTGACCCATTCTTCAGTGGCCCGTGGTTTGTGTGTCCAACGGAGATTGAACACTCTCCAACCAGGTTGTTTTACAAGAGAGAAGTGTTCCTCAGCTCAATTGAGGACACCAACCCTCTACGGAGTATTATTGGGAAATGCTGTGTGCTACACTATAAAGAATATTGCTCAAGTAAGTAGACATCAGATAGCATTGTATGATGACCAGAAGATAAACAATGAAACATGTTACTTCTGCCCACCAGCTATTTCAGCTTCATCCACTATGGGAGTGTTTTGTTTGTGAAGTGTGCCATGTGGTTAAGGTCAAACTATACACCCTGCTTTCATTCTCTACAGAGGTTCAGTTTTAGAAGCCTTCTTCCTCCCAGTTGCTTAGAACGATGCTCATCCTGTTGATCGCTGGATTCTCTGGTCCAGTCTTGATTATTTATAGACCACCACTATATAGCTTGAATATTGCCGGGTGCAGCTTTGAACAACAAACAAAATCATCTTGCAGATCGCTTCCATAATTCTGCAGTAGTGGGAGAATTGGAAAGAAATGGCATGAATCCTTGATAACTTAAAATGTGACTTTCTGCATTTGTATGCAGAACTAGATCTTAAATTATATGTCATATAAGTGCAGCATTTTGGTATTTGTTTGTAAGACCTGTTAAGGTCCAGCTGCAAAGTGCAGTGGATGCATGCATGAGCTAGAAGGTGAGGGGATTGGAAGGTTTCTGTTATTGTGTGACTTTTGGCTTGATGTTTGACGACCAGGTCGACCCACTGAGTATTCAGAGCAGGATGTGTTTATCTGTGAGTCCAAGTACCATGAAGGAGAGAAGTCCATCAAGAAACTTGGCAAGGGACTCAAGGTAATATCAGGTTAAAGTTGTAGCCCTAGCAGTAAATCATCCATGGAGAGTCTTAAGGAGAATCATTTTTTGAAATTTTCAAACAGTTCTGTTAGGTTACTTTGTTGTAAATAATCATATAAAAGCAAAATAATCTTAGAAATAATTGAGGGACAGCATCATTTTGTTGCCTGACTTTCACAACATGGTTTACAGCCTACATAGTGTCTTGGTTGTGATATGTTCAGAGATTTTATTGTGTTGCCTTTTCTTTTCCAGAAGTATTCTCTGTCCCCGAAGGTCACTGATGATGAGATCTATTTCTTCAGGAAGCCTATCAGTCCACAGAAGGTAGGAAACTTTGGATTTCATGGATCAAGGTTTTATTAAGAGGTGCCTCTCTTTGGCATTTCAGAATTCTATGATGGTTTGAATTCTGTGATTTCGCCCGATTACTTTTCTAGATTCATCAGTTCTGTACCCATGTTTTTTGCCGCAATGGTTAACGTTAAATACCTGTACCACATTAATCATCCCTCCTACACCAAGCTGACACAGTGTGATAGAACTGAAATACTGTTCATAGCTAGTGATATTGAATTGGGGAGCTGCCCCCCTCTCTATATGTGGAACCTATCATCCTGCCACTGTTACAGGAGCCGTCTCCACTGTTACTGAAGGTGGCTGAGGAGGTGACCATGGAGGTGGAGGATTCCCAGGACACAGAGACAGACAATGTTCCTGAGACCGTCAACATCTCCTCAGAGGAAGTCAGCACCCCACAGCCAGAGAAGTCGGCCAAAAAGGTTGGGAAAGTAAGACAAAATTTTGAAACATCCGCATGCAGGCATGGTAACGGATTGCTATCGGCATGCTTGAACAAATCCAGCTAATGTCTCTCTCCCCAGCTAATCTTCTCCCACACAATCACCCACTTTCTCACTGTCTCCCCTGTTATGGCATACCCTCACAGTTGGTAGAATGACTGTAATTATGACTGCTAGTATTATGATCGCAGATAATAGAGGCAGTAATTTAGGAAACCAGTAAAAAATACTATTTTGGGGTTCAATATTTATGTTAATCAAGAAGAAGGTTACTAACCTGATGCCTCTTAACCTTTGACAGTGGCATTTCTATATTTGATTATGCTCAGACAGTAATGTTTATTGCTCTTCAAAATGAAAGAAAAACTGAAAAATAGTAATACAATATTCTTGAAGACTTATGAGAAGTTACACTATGATAAAATTTCACCAATCCATTATGAATTAGAAAAATGTTTTTCAAAGGTGGTTAGAAACAATATGTGAAAGCAGGGAAATGTATCCTAAGAATGGATTAATGGGCAATTTTTGTGAAAAAAATAACCGTGATTTTGGTAGTTTTCCAGTTTAGATTAGGTCACAATTTTATGATTAAGCATCTCCTGAAGTAATCCAGTCTGCGGAGTTGTTCACTGTACTTGTCCTGAAGTCCCTTAGTTGTACCTTGTAACCTTGGACTGCTTCGCTGCTTGCTATTGCTTTATATTTAGTCAACGCAATAATATTGGGGATATATTTGTTAACAGTGTGAATTTATTACATTAGTTGAATTTAAGAAATGTGTATGTCAGTTATTTATTTGTGGGTTTGACCACTGTGGTAAATGCCTGTGGCCTGCTGCATCAAATACATTAAGTGGTGGTGAAGAAATACTATGTATAGATAACAAGCTTCAATCCAACTTACACTTGTACACCTGTGATAATGCTGTCAGAAGTTAACCTATGGCTCCATGGCACCTGTTTGTATTTTCCCTTCCGTTTCTCATCCTTTAACCTGTGACAATGCAGAAAATGTATGCCATGTTTCCTTGATGAGGCAGAGGAGGTGGTGATTGGATGGCTACAGTGACTGCTGTGTGTTAATGTAGGGGTGACCACCTGGGAAGTATCCCAATTGTGTAAATCAATGCTCATGCTGTTGATCACTCTAGTGTCTCTAGTTACAGACCGCCAACATATAGCTGGAATATTGCTAAATGAAGCATTAAACTGTTGAGACTGTGTCATTCTGTTGAGATGTCACAGACCTGTGCTCACACTATCAACCACTGGTCTGAGTGGTGCTTGAATGGTTATTCCTGTGGGTTATAATACTGCAGATTATGGCATATAGCCTCATCAGCTGGATCCTTCATATGTTCTGTGAGTCTTATGTTCCGTATGATATCACAGTTGGGAATCAGGGATGGTGGGATAGCATAGGGGTTAAGGCGTTCGCTCGTCACTCAGAGGCCCCGGGTTCGATTGCCCACATGGGATTCCCCTAGTAGAAATGATATTGCTATTGATATTGATATCCCCCACCGTGATATTGCTGGAATATTGCTAAAAGCATCATAAATCTATACTCACTCACTGTGAACATGGTAAACATGTCAACAAACACAGATGATGTCACAACTATTGTTTTATTCACAATCAGCACTACACCAACATAGGAGTCTATGTTTTAAGTCCAGATTTGTCTGGTGCTTCCATCAATTATAATGTTATGTTCACATCAACAATATCGCACTGCATCTTCTTTATTGCAGGATGATTGTTGTGTTTTATAGCACGGTATGGAGAATATTATTGTGTTTCATCCCTTAACATATTACCTTCACTTGATGTGTGACGGTTGTGGTTGATTTCCTCGCTAATGTGTCAGCAAGCTTCCTATGTTTATACATGACCGTTTCTGTGGCACTGTTTACACATTTACCTGCTTCACAGGCAAAGAGCAACGTGCGACGCCAGCCGAGTGGCTACATCGTGTTTGCTGGCGAGATTCGAAAACAGATCCAGCAGGAAAACCCTGACTGCTCATTTGGTGACATCAGCAGGATTGTTGGCACGCGGGTAAGTAACATGCATCTTTGTCAGTAACAGCTCCTCCAGAGGTCAGAAGAAAGGTTGCGTGAAATGATCATGTATGGGGGGTCAGGCTGTTGTTTGCCAGATAGAGTGTAATCCTTCTCTGATGACCTAGATCATTGCATATGCTCAAGTAACAAATAATTCAGGTTTCATTGATACACCTGTAATATTGCTGACTCAACAATGAAAAATGTCCTTAAATTGTAAAACCAACATAAGCTTCATTTAAGTCTTTGAGGAAATTAGGCTAGTGGAAAATGTAGGAGAATTGTTCCATTTCTTAGGTCATGGGTGGCCCATGCTTCTTTGGAGCAACAACCCACAATGCAGCTTGCATCCCTAAAGCATCATCAGAGCCCAATATCAAAGAATTTAGTCTGAGATTTTTCCGATAATGATCCTTGGATGTGATTAGCATTCAGTCTCATTGGTTCCAACAAAATACTTAACCTTCTAGACCTGTATCACTTTTGCTGTCCTTCCTCGTCAAGCTGAAACAGTGTAATGCGTTTTTGATTTGTACTCACTGACTGACTCGTTCTTCAAGTGGAGGAACTTGGAGAAGGAGGATAAGGAGAGGTTCGAGGAGAAAGCCAAGAAGATTGCAGAAGAGCAGGCTGCCAAACAGCAGGAAGCAGAGCGGGCCTTTAACGAGAGTCTCAACCGTTCCCAGAGTCCCTGGAACGACTTCGGTCGTGTCTCCCCAGGGGCCAGCACCAGGCCAGCCACACCAGGTAAGTCACTGCATCAAACATCACCAGACTCCGTTACCTGGGATGTCAGGATGATATTTGAAAACACCTTTACAATGTCATTTTAGACACAGCCTTTATCATTCATTTGCTTTTTATGTGTTCCATCTCTGTGAAATTTGATATTTATAATAGTTACTTAAAACATTGGTCACTTTTTCTTCATTATTCTGAAACATGTTACCAATTTTCAGAATGACTTGAATATTTTTTAGAAATATGATGTTTATTTATTCAAGTTTGTGATAATGTGTGTCATGTTTTCTGCAATGTGGAACGTAGAAGCACTGTATGATGAGTGATGTTTTATGTGCAGTAGATACTAGTCAGAACACACTGCATCAGTTCACTGTGTGCCTGCTGCAAGCTGCATGTTGTATTGGCTGCATGAAGAATACAAGTTCACCTAGAAATAGTCACTGTTCACTAGTCATTGTTTTGTGAGCCAAGTAACTTACACATCCATAAACACTGACTTGTTATTGTGTATAGAAAATGTGCATGAATATAAGCACAATCTTTTTCGGCCTTGGTAAAAAAAACTACAGTCTTATTATTAATTTGGTATTTTGGCTCACAAGAGTAATTGGTGCGAATGATTTTGTTTAATTTCTTGCTGCACAAATCAGGTTGAACACAAAGCTGTAGTAAGTATATGAGTCCAGGATATATGTCCTAAGAGCTAGTAGCAATTTGGAATATCAAATGGTGGAACTGCCTAATTAGAGGCTGGAGGGAGGGTGACCCAGGCCATGAGATTACAAGACAGATCCTCCCTGAATGGTTGCAGCATTGCTGATGCAGCACAAAACAATAGTTACTCACTGCCACACGGAGCACATGCTGATAGTGGAAATGTCCCAGGACAACTGTTGAATTTGCATCTTGGTCATATTAGGTTCATACCAGCAAGGCTACCCCCAGGGGTACCAGGGCTACCCCCCACAGCCGGGGATGCAGTATGGGATGCAAAACGGTCCTATGACCCCCCAGCAAGGTAGGTGATGTTGACAGACTGCCTCCATCTGTCTCTCGTCTGTTACATGTCTAATATTGTCTATATTCTGTCATCTCATCACTTATCTCACAGACATTGGACTACATTCAAACAACAGTTTGTCAGTCTTGAAGTATAACTCGTCAATTTCACTGGCATTGCATATCTGATAATAACAATGAAACGGAATTGCAATATTTTAATGTCAATCACAGCTTAAATGTTGTAGCTTTCATGTGAGCATGCACAGATAGTTTGATGTTGTTTTGAGCAATGCACTTGGCATGGTAATGGTGAAGGACATTTTTGAGGGATGTAAATTTCACATTTATGTCTATTTCAAGTTGAGTTTTTCACCCCCCCCTGAGCAATCCCTGCATTCTCTAGCTGCAGCACACTACACTTTGAACCTTAACTCGAGAGCTTCAACTGTGCAATGTTAAAATGACTGATGAATTCTCAGTAATCATGATAACTGCATCATGTGATCAATACTCTGCTACTAATACAGACAAATATTATCCAAACCATGATTCATTAACTAATCCCATAAATGGATACCATATAAAATGGATTTCGTTTATGTGTTAACAAAAATTAATCATCAAAATTTGAAAAAAATGCAATAATTTGTAATAAAAAAAATTAAAAAATTATCATCAAATTCATAAATCAGAACGATGAAACAGTCATTAAGAAAAGCTCTATTTCCCTTCCTTATTTGCGTTTTGAGTTGTCTTGTGTTGCTTATGATGGTTTTATTTGCCAAGGAATGCTCTACAATGTGACTAGGGCTCCACCACCCAACGGAATGCCGATGCTCTCAGGGCAGCGCGGTTACATGCCGCCATATCAACAACACCCAAGCAGGCCACAAGGACCTTATATGACCTACCCCCAAGGCCAAACCCCTCCCCCGGGGACTCAGAGCCCTGTCCCCAATATGAACCCCCTTCCCCCCATGTCCCCTGGCTCGTATCCCATGATGCCGCACAGCCCTTCTGGAGGAATGCTGCCAGGTACGATGCTACCACCGTCGTCCATCGCTGCCGACATCGTGTCTAACGGGACTGTGATGAGCATGCCAGTGCTGCCACCTGGTGCCGGGATTCCCAACTACTCTTGCTCTTCCTCCTCCATCTTACAACCTGCTAGTGTGCACTTTCAACCACCTTCTTGCCACCCTGCTCAATATGGTAGTGTCGACTCAGGTAGACTGTCACGCTGGAGGTTACATTGGCCCAGCCAGGATTTGATAATGGCCGACCAGCATCCTCTTGTTCAAGATGGCTGGGGAAAAAACTGCATTGGTGCATTTTGAATTAATTTCATTTAAACTTGACCTTCTGCTTGCTGAAAACAGATAATGTCTCTTATTTCACACGTGGCACTGATGATGTTTAGGCCAGGATGGGAAATGGAACCAAATATAAGGTGCCATCTGTGAGGAAAACGATAACCTGCTCTGACTATTCATCCTCTCAGAAACAAATACTAAATTCTTTATTATAATCTTTTGGAATGGGACCCATTAGCAAATGTTTTGAGAAAAAATGTGTAACCTCCTTCAGTAAAACTTAATTTTTCATGATCATCATGGCGTCAAACCAATTTTGACTTCACATCAGGATTCGATAAAGTCTAAAACATTAACAACCCAATGCCACTAACTATGATCGAATCCTGGTTGTGCCAGTTAACACTAGTGGAAGACATGCATGTGCGTTCTTTACTTGCATAACGTTTTGCATGTGATGGGTTACTTGTGTGTTGTAATAATGTTGTCCATGTCACTTGTCAAGCACTGTGGTTGAAAATTGTATCACCAGCTGTCCAGCATGCTTCTTGTACATAGCTTGTGTATTTCACTTGTTCGTGTCTGTTTCAAATAAATCTCTCTTCACAGGTGAAAAGCAAATAATAATCAGAATTGGTTTCAGTGTTTATTGAAATTTACAATTTCTTTCAGGAAATATTGATTTCTTGTACCCTTAATAAAACATTAGTATCAAACAGAGATGTCAGATTTTGAGTCGTCCTCTTTTTAAGAATGTGTAAGTTGACATGAATGGTGTGTGTGTTATAGTTAGATTCCTGCTGGTGATGCAATGATTCATAGGTATACTGCTCAGTGATGTAGAACTTGGTGAAGGTTATATCCCTTGCTTTCTGAGGCCCTTCAATAATTCATATTACCAGTATCCACTTGCTGCTTGATTGTAAAATACAGCTTTTCTTTCAATTAACAAACAATGGGATTAATTATGGCATTCTTGGTTATACGTTGTATTCTGTATTGAATCTTAAATTTTGTTATTGTTTTCAGTGTTAGGGTTTACATGTTACCAGTTCATACTTTTGATACGGTCCCCATTTGACAATGATCATAATATATTGCGAGAGAAAGTATCTGTACGTCACGAGATGTGGGAGGGGCAAATCCAATCTAAACAAGAATATGGGTAAAAGTCATTTTTCATCAAGAGCTATTTGCCACCACCAAATAGCTGGAATATTGCTGAGTGAGGCGTTAAACAACATACAAACAATAACTGTTTTATTTTCAAACTAGGTCAGTCAAAATGAATACCTAAAGATTCTTGTCTAACGAACTTCAGGTAATCTTGTATATCCCCGTCTTAAGAGTTAGAAAGGGTTATGTTTTATTTAAATTTCTCAAATATGAAATGTTGTTAGTAAGTTAATGATTTCACTTGTATGATATCAAGGACAAGTTTATTCCTGGGATTTCACAGGAGTATTTTTGTGTGAAAGTTTCATTACATGAAAGCTACTGGCTGAATAACTTATATGTAACAACTCACGCTGTTAAGTTGGTGTTGATCCAAGTTCAAAATAGAAATAGTGCAGTTCATTTTATTCAGTATGTTAAAACCCAAGGATGGTATAACCTGTATTATGCGAAAACTTAAGTGCAGATGTACATGATTTATAAGTTGTTCACTTGATTTGAAGAGTAGGTATGAAAACTGGTAAAAATGCATCGCTTTTCAATATGGGGTTGTCATGGTAACATAAGATGAATTCCACCCAACTAAAGACATATCACTGCATTCACATGCCCGACATGATGATGAATGGAGGACTACACCAACTGGTTATGTTAGATTATAAAGAGGCAGCACAGAATTCATAAGCTGATCCTTTCATCCCCTTGCAGGACAAATGCAGCAGCAGATGGTTCCCCCACCCCCACCACCACGCCCTCCGTCACCAGTGTTTGTGTCCGTACCCCCCAGAACACAACGGCTCCTGCACTCTGAAGCCTATCTCAGGTCAGTAAGAGGGAACTGGTAGCTATCATAATGTCTCAGTGCAATACCAAACAATAGTGAGCCGTAACTGAAACGTAGTGAGTTTTGTTTTATACTGCATTCAGCAATATTCCAGCTATATGGCGGCGGTCTGTAAATAATTGAGTCTGGACCAGACAATCCAGTGACCAACAGCATGGACATCAATCTACACAATTAGGATACTATGACATGTGTCAACCAAGTCAGCGAGCCTGACCACCCAATCCTGTTAGTCCTCTTACAACAAGCATGGGTTGCTGAAGATCAGTTCTAACCCGGATCTTCACGTTCTAAATGAAACTGAGAACACACTGTAAAAACTGGAGTGTTAATATGACCTTGAGGTTATTTTTCAATTGATGGCTTTGTGAACTATACATTTGATCTCTTTAGGTCCAGAAACTATACTTCTTACATTTACCTCCTTCTGTTGACTAACGTGATTGGTTGACGCACCATCATATCCCAATTGTGTAGATCAATGCTAAGGCTGTTTATCACTGCATTATCTGGTCTGGAGTCAATTATATACAGACCGCCTCTGTACAGCTGGAATATTGCTGTGTGCAGCGTTAAACAACAACCAAACCAAACTCCTTTGACCCATACTGATTTATTTCTATTTGTCAGATACATGTTGAAGGTTACAAAATAATTATATCGGCCAAAGACTACATTGCTGTGAGCCCTAAAATGATTAATAAGTATTTATTTCAGAAGAGTAAAGGTAAATATTTATTATGGAAGAAAATACCAAATAGAACAAGCAAAACTAATCTTGTGTCTTCCTTGAGAAACTGATCTTGTCTTGCTTGAGAAACAAGTGTAGATCATTGTTGTTTGAAAATGAAATATATTGGCATTGAGTCATTTTGCTGTGATATACACACTGATCAGGATATATGTTACCAGGTATGTCTTTCCTCTGTGCTTGTACCACATTTTATTGCTGTGTTTGAACGCTGACATACATAAGCATCTGTGAAAGTCTGTTTAGCTCATCCAGGAAATGTGATTTTCTCAAATCTCTCTGAAACAGCACAATGGACCAGGGCCTAGATTTTCGAAGCTCTCTTAACGCTAAGATAGTCGTAAGTGCCATATATTAACATTAACTTAGCACTAAGAGAGCTTCGAAAATCTAGGACCAGATGCCTATGGAGCTGCAAATCTTGTTGTTTCTAGGTTTGTCAGCAACCTGTCTGTACTGGTGGGTTGTACCAAAATGGTAATCATCTAAAATCTGTATCATTTTGGTACCTTGGTACTACTGATCCAAGCGGTTGTCATTCACTCATTCACACATCTCGCAGGTATATTGAGGGGCTTAACACTGAAAGCAAGACTATAGGAGACTGGGACAAGACCCTCTCAGCTACCCCAGAAAACACACCTGCTGTCCCAGAAAGCCGACTCCCAACTCAATGGCTGGCCCAGGGGGCTGGTTACCATGGCAATGTTACTAATGCATTGTGGGCTCTACGAGATTTCATGCTGAAAGACACTCTCAACATTGCACGAACCATACCCTTTGAAGACTTGTGTGAGTTTGAATTTTGATAACATGTAACATATATAAGGGCAAAGGATATGTGATATAGAGAATCTCACCCAAGTGTCTTCTGATGTCAAATATATCAACACGAGCTACAAATATCCGAGGCTTGCAGAGGATATTTTTACTTTAATCAATGAATGTTAATATATTTGATATCAGAAGACACGAGGGTGAGATTTATTTATCATCCTAAATCATTCTTCATCAGTTACCAGTAAAAGAATGAATTTATCTGAACACATAACTGCCATTAGGCTTCTTGAGCAGTGATCCCATGGAGGTCATAGCTTTGTGATGTCATCAAATTTGTGACGCCATAGTATTGTCAGCTGTGTTCTTAGTGATGTCAAAGCATTGTGAGGTCATTAACTGACGATGTAATAGCCCTATACAAAATGTGTCAACTACGTCTTCATCTCATGCATAAACTGAGATTCTAACATTTTCCTTCCATTGTTGGTACGAGTCTCTCTCAGTTCATCTCAAATCTAAAATGGACAAAATTGTTAACACTGCAAGTAAAATCGCTGGAGTCAGATATGAATGTTTATCATTAATATATGAGCGGCAAATCGTGAATCAAGCTGTCAAAATTATATCTGACCGTACTCACTACTTAAATTCGGAATACAACCTCCTCCCTTCAGGCCGCCGCTTCAAAGTTCCAGTTGTGAAAACTAAGAGAGCCCGTACATCCTTTATTCCAAGTACAATATATCTTTTAAACAAATGTGAAGATACCTAAATCAATGAATATATGTAAATATGTTTTGTATCTCTCTGATGTGTCAGTAGCTCTGCTGATGTAACACAAATTCCTGAAAAGGCATTAAAGTATTATTCTATTCTATGATAATTCCGTTGTTGGGATATCAACAATGTATCGCTTGATCTCACACGAGTGATATCTACTGTGGGAGTCAGTTTTGGATGATAAATTGATATTGTCGCAACTGGCAAATTTCCTGCAAGAATTTCATTTAAATGTAACTGGTGCCTCTGTTGTGTAAGGGGCTGCATTTTGGTATGCAGAGTTAAATCCCACAGTGATGCCAGGATCGACTGAAGGGGTTTGAATTCTATTTTTCCCACATTATAATCCTGCTTTTGTCAGTACCATATTATTTTTGTTAAATGTGCATCACTTTGCCTCCCCATCTTCCATAATTATCCTGACAAGCCCTGATATCACTGAACCACTGTTTAGAGTAGTGGTGATAAACCCAACTCACTCACTTGTGCTGATAAATTCGTAATTCCAGTGTCTGCAAGGTAACCTTCTATAAAAGGTTTAAATACTACTACTTATACTTGGCATTACTGAATAACTACTTGAGGACATGGAAGGAAGAAATTGTCTCTGAAACTTTGCTGGAGGAAAATTTGCTTCAAGAATTTACTCTACTTCACAAATATGATTTTAGTTGAGGTAGATAAGGATTCTGGAAAAATCCTGAAGAATGGTAGATTTGTTTGTGTGATGAAAATATGGCAACGTTTGAACTAGGGCTGGCTAGCAATATAGATTGTAGAGATCCATGACCGTTAACTGAATATTGCTAGATTATCAATAAATATCAGCAAAGTTATTTTGAGCAAAAATGCCAAAACAGTCTGAAAGAAATTGAATCTTTGGTGAGTGGCTTGAATTACTAACAAAACACCATCCTGAACATAATTTAGAAGCAGCCCATGACTAACTTTGTGTATTGTCAGAGTAAATTAAAAGTTTATTTCATCACCATAGTTTATGTGAGATATTATCAATGACTCAAATTTTCACATCAATAATCATTTGTATTTGTTTTCCAATGACGTTATTTCTGATTATGAATGTTTTTAGCCATCCCTAGATTGAACAAAGTCAGTGTAAACAGTTTAAGATCTGGGGTAATCAGATTGATGTAGCTGCACCCAATATGTTGCCAATCCATAAAACATGATCTTATCTTTTCTGTTTCAGAAATCTGTTTTAGCCTACCATGAATTCAACACCGAACAGCATCTGAACAACTACTTCATTTTTATCATAAGCTGAAAGCTTCAGACATTGTCGTCAGTCTGTTTTGCCATTTTAAGCTTTGTGAGTCCTTGTCACAATTTCAACTCAGCAATGGTGCTATAAACATTAATGGCAAAACTCATTTTCATCTGTTTAGACCGAGCACTTCATCGATTCCATTTAAAAATGGACTTTTCATGGCACCATTACTTCATCTTTTTACATTTTATGATTGTTTCATTGTCTTTTCTTCCATCTTGCTAAAATATGATCTTAGTTCTGAACGAAGATCTGAGGAAATTTCATTACTGGTCATGTCAGGAGATCGTTCATTTGACCGATCAAGGCGTTGCTCACCGGATCAGGAAAGTGACAGTCCAAATCTGTTTTCATATCATGCAACCTCTCAAGGTTAACACTGTGTATTTCGAACAGTCAGTACTCGCTGTACGACTGGTTCTGTCTAATCACTATTCATTACTTGCTTCACTGGGACTGACATTACAGAACAAATAGGCTTTTCATAGCCAATGGGAGGTACTGCCTGACAGTCTTGCCTATCTATTAAGCTTTCTAGATTGGTTCAACTGTCAAATAATTTGAGGATTTTATGAAAATACTTTTCAAAGTTCTTAGTCTGGAATTGAGGACCCCTGTTTGAAACGTGTGCCTTTTAGCTTGTGAAAGCTGCTTTCTGGTTGGCTGATGTTAGCTTCCCACTAAAAGTTTTATTGCTTGTTCAAAATATTGTTCTGACAAGACCTGTAATAGGTATCCACAGATCTTAGTTTAGTCGTAGCAAGAACTAAGATCTGATTTTTATGAGATTAGTCTTTTCTTGGGGCTTGAGGGAATTGCTGGATATGGTTTATCCACTGCTGCCAATCATTCATGGTTATGTGTGAGTGAAATGAACACATTGTCCATTACTACCATCTTGTGAACAAAATACATTCTATGTTATGTATGTGATTTCTTGTTTTATGGGGTAATTGTTGATATCTGGTTGTAAGCATTTGTGAATGTGTGGACAGTTAGAAATAGACAGATCTATATTTCAAGTTTAGAGACTGAAAAAACAACATGAGATCATCTTTTATATTCTTGTTGCTTTTTTAGCTGACTTGTTAATAAAATAATTTATTGTCTCCTAAATTATTGTTTTGTGAATGCATCGAGCTGACAGGCAATAGAGCCTATGTATCATTACCAGCATTGGCTTTTTGTTGTAGTAGCATCCATGATCAAGCAAGACACTTCATCATGGAGTCTGTTAGTAGTTCCTAACACTAAAGATTTTATACTCACTCTAGACATTGTTTCACATTTCATTTTGTTGTATTATTCATTATGAACACTGGTCTGAAAATCAACATCAGTCATTGACAGGAGTATTTGATTAAATGGTGATAAATATTTCAGTCACTGGTATAAAGCCAGATAAACCGAAGACTACAAATAGGAGGAGGAATAATCTAACTCAGCAACAAGTTCAAAAGTTGGATGTCAGATTGAGAACTTAGGTTTTCTTTCGATCCTACAAAATCATTTTCACAGTTTATGTTAATAAATACCAGCTTTAGTCTATTGAGACTGATATTATGAACAACACTCCAGAATGTTGACATGACTTATAAAGTAAAGGGTTGGTTGAAGCGACAGTTTCGCATGGACATCCTATAAGCCATATTTTGATTTCATGTGTCATCAAGTTTACATAGGCATACACAAAATAATAAACAAGATTGGTCCTTCAAGCAAAAAGCTCATCATATTCAATTTTACATAATTACATAAATTTTAATTCATGTGTGAACAATAGATATCTTATAAAAAAAAAAGCCACAATAGTCCAAATGATTTGTCCAAAAGGTCCAAAAGCTATCAGTTCACACAACACGGGCACATCAAACACATCCAAGTCTATCTCTGTGTGAAGAAACTCTGGAACATGTGTTTCACACAGGACACAAGGACAGCCGAGCACGACTGGGGCTGCTTGGATTCTTCACCAAGATCGATCTCCACAACTTGAGGACGGGCTCTGGGGGCAAGGACGGGGAAGGAGGGCAGGGTGTCGGGCAGGGAGTAGAGGGGGTTGACGGTGATCGTGAAGACACCAGGGTGCTTACAGAGAGGAATCAGATTGTCAGTATCATTGAAACAGTATGAATTGATGGTTTAATGAAAAAAACCCAAAAAACATGAGTTGACCATTTTCATGCACTATCTTGTTAACAGATATTTAACCAGATTGATGGAGAAAATGTACCACCTTGCCAATTAGATGATAACATATCATAAAAATACTTTTCAACAATTGTACAAATCTCTACCTGGACAATTCACACTGTATCACACTATGTGAATCACTATCAAACAGTGGTGATAACAATGGTAATTTGATCATTAGTTTCAGAAAAAGAACCTTGCACATGTTATTGAGTGTGCATGAAAATAATGGAAGTTTTCTTTCTTGTGTTGTTTGTTAGCAATGAATACTTATAATTGGAAGATTTGGGACTATTTAATATGTAATATTATTTGACTCAATGTTTCAAAACAGATGACTTGTTTCAAACTTTCTTTAAAGAGCAAGTTTATACAAAAATAAATATTTTTGTCTTAGTTTTTCAACATGAAAAGGATGTATCAGGTAGTTTCATAGCCAATACAGTAGAGGTATAACAAGTAAATCATTTATGTTTTGCATCATATCAATTGCAATAGTTCTTGTATTTGTATTTCTAACTAATAGGACAAACTCAAACAACCTAAAGATGACCTACAGGATCAGGGACTGGGAGAGTCTTTTGGGAGACGGGGGCCGGGTAGGTCCTAAACCTGTGGAGATCGTCTACAGCTGGAATGGAATAAATGAAATAAGACACAAAAATCACACTTATCCTTACATATAAACCTGAAGGCTGCTTCTCACTATATATTAGACTTGGCTTCTTTTCCCGAAATTACCACATTTGAGGTTTTTGTTTGCTCCCAGGTTTTACTTTTCGTAAGTAAGACCTATTTCCCGGTTTTACTTTTTGTAAGTAAGACCTCTTCCCAGGTTTACTTTTTCCTAACTCTATATTAACATCAACATTCAAATTCAGATGATATGTTAGTGTTTGAAATCAATTGAAAGATATCGTCAAAGATAAACTTAAATGTGCAAATGTTTTTCCTAGCAGGATTGGAACCGTATATTTCAGATTCATAAGCGGACACTCTACCTCACAGCCACCGGACCGACAAAGAACAAGTGTTGAATTATCTATTTATAGTTAGGCCTACTGTCATTCAATTGATTTTACTAGCCCTTCAGGTACTGTTATGTAGCTTCATTACATGATCATCTAATTATCCATCATTGACGGTTTATACTAGTAAGCTTCAGGTACTTCTCCCCACCCTCCGGTCTCGTTTATGTAGCTTCATTACATGATCATCTAATTATCCATCATTGACGGTTTATATGTATAATAAAGCACTCCTCCTCAAACATGGTTCTAAAAGCACCATAAGATTCTACTTGACAACGAGTTTCTTTCTCAGAAATCTACAGTTACACGGAGCAGATCTCATCAGCCAGATGAAGAGAGGAGACATAGATCTGCAGTTAATATACTTAAACAGTTCTGATATGCTTTGACCTGGGTACTGGTGCATAATATCCATGGCCATTTTTTGTGCAAAATTACAAAGGACACGCACATATTCACATCCACACAATCGTTCCATGAAAAAGACCAAACGCCTGATCAGGTGTGAAACCCGTACATACGAGGGATTGGCGAAGTACATGGAATGTCCCTTATGTTAATGATTTTGTTAGTCATTCTCTTTTACATTTACTGTTAGATCAAAGACGTCTTTGGTTAGATCTACCCCAAGATAAGGACAGATATATCTTCAGGTTATTTCAAGAATCAAGTTTGGAATACTCTGTAGCTCGGAAGCTATTCAATCAAGATGAAGAGCAAACATAATATAATTCAGAGACCACTACAAGATACCTTGATGATAGGCCAAAGCAACAGAAGCATACATCGTGCAGAACGTGAGATGCGTGCGGGATAAAGAGCAAAATGTCAGCACAGACGTGGAAACAAGTAGCATCAACAACCAAAATGGCGTCGTTGTGACTATCGCTAGTAGCAACAGTCTCCATGGAGATCAATCGGAGATCGTCCCCTCTCGCCTCTTTCCGTGAACAGCCAAGCTTTTGAACCGGAATAACACGATAAATTGCGATTTGAAAATCTAGATAGCAATGAATTTTTTCAACTGTGTAGTACATTTAACTAGAGCAACAGGATATGAATCTAAACCCCTAAACCTCGAATTCTGTGACATGTATCAGTCACTTGTTCTTTTTACGCATTAAAAGTGATTCCCCTAGGGGAGACCACTCGCGTTGTTTTGATGTCGTGATTACACCACGCTTGTTCTCGCGGTTTCTGAAAGCTGAAAATACATTCCTCTGCGACGGTGGGCAAACAATAAGCCCACAGGGACAAAAATCCCCTAGGCTAAATGCCCCCATGACAAAAAGCCCTTGCAAAATTCTACCCATAAGATAAAACACCCTTTGAGTTGACGGGTGATAACATGATGTTTTCTAAGCAATTCCTCCCACTGCTGACAGTTGTTACAGGTAAGTAGCATATGTGAAAACCATATGTACCAAGGCTCCGCTGTGACGATGTTTTTATTTTAACAATGGAATGAAGTCTGCTAAATGTTGGGTACAAATGAAAGTGAATTAAGTGTTTCCTGATTTCCTGCTTCCTTCCTAATGTTCGGAGTAGCCCATCAATTAATGGTGTATTATCATTTGCATCATCATGTTGATAATGTTAAAACTTATTATATTATATTCATGTGAGAATAAATTCATGTGCTGCAAAAGGGTTTGTTGGTATTCATCTTTTCATTGAGGACCTTTGTGGGGTGTTTTGTCATGGGGGCATTTAGCTGGGGGTGTTTTGCCTGGGGGCTTTATGTGCTTGTGGGCCTATTGTCCTACCACCTCTGCGACATGTCCAATAGAAATGTTGGAATTCAAGTAGTCTTGGAATATATAGTTGATACTTTTCAAAAACAGACGCCATCCATATAACGCCTTTCGCCTTGAAATAAAAGATAAAACACGTTGGGTGAATTGTCCAGTCATTTGTCTCTGGCCAATATTACCACCTAAGACTACAGCTTCAGATACAGAACATATGTCTAATCTTTCAAATGATATGTCTATTTTATCGAGTGACACATTTGTGTGAATGGCACAGACTATAAATAACCTCTATTTCTCTCCAATAAACGCCATTGTTGCAGACTCTAAACTAAATGAATAAATATTAAATCTGTGAAATCTATTAAAGTCTTGCAGACATTTGCTTAAACAGGAACCACTATCATTTTTATGGAGACCATAACTAAAGCAGAACACCACCCAGGAATTCTTCCCACCTCATGACAGCTTTTGGGGTGCAACACGTTTGGGGTGCAGCTTAAGTTTGGGGTGCAACACGTTTGGGGTGCAGCTTAAGTTTGGGGTGCAACACGTTTGGGGTGCAGCTTAAGTTTGGGGTGCAACACGTTTGGGGTGCAGCTTAAGTTTGGGGTGCAGCGTTTGGGGTGCAACACGTTTGGGGTGCAGCTTAAGTTTGGGGTGCAACACGTTTGGGGTGCAGCTTAAGTTTGGGGTGCAACACGTTTGGGGTGCAGCTTAAGTTTGGGGTGCAACACGTTTGGGGTGCAGCTTAAGTTTGGGGTGCAACTGAGCATGATCGATCTACGAAGATTTTAAGGAGAGTTCTACGACTCTTCCTATTTGAAGGGGTTCAGAATATAACAGCATAAAATGATTAGAAGATGAAAACGTGAAGAACATCTCCAAATTCCCTATTTTGAATTGTAGAATATGTTACACAACAGCAAATCCTATATATGAAATATATCTTATATTCAATACCATATTAAACAGTAAGACGATTTGACATACCATGCAAGGTTGTTTATCGGTAGCTCGAATAAAAACTGACTGCACTGATGACAATGCGGTGACTGAATGACAAACACCACATTGTATTGATATGATTTTATAACCAAGCGTTAGTTTATTGAATACAACAAAGCGAAAAACACCACACGGTTCAACGTTCAATGCCAGTGTTGTAGTTACAGACATGGTAGTTGTAGTTACAGACATGGTAGTTGTAGTTACAGACATGCTAGTTGTAGTTACAGACATGCTAGTTGTAGTTACAGACATGCTAGTTGTAGTTACAGACATGGTAGTTGTAGTTACAGACATGGTAGTTGTAGTTACAGACATGGTAGTTGTAGTTACAGACATGCTAGTTGTAGTTACAGACATGCTAGTTGTAGTTACAGACATGGTAGTGTGACTTCATATTGCGCAGGGAATATACCGTGACCACAAAAATCACTTCAAAGACAGTTACTATTCTGAGTACCTGTATAACTATATACTATACATATATGTACAATAGAATGCTCTCATGCAACGTACGACCAGGGGCGTAGCTACCATTATAGAAAAAGCCCGGGCTTACATAGATTTTTGCTTTAAAAAATATTTTTTTCTAATTCTGGCCAAAAAGACCTCAAATACTATCTACATATAAAGCTTTGCGACCTATGGGGCTTACACGAACAAAGTGGCTCGTTATGCACCTGACGATTGACAGGAAGAATCACGGTTCTATCAACCTATATGGGCCTAATGGTTTTGGTTAACAGATAAAGATATACCAACTTGGGGAAAAAATAAACAATACAGTCTTGTGATCACCTTAGCTTCCACTGCGCGGCAAGTGTGTGTGAATGATGTTTGAAGCCGCAGTCAGCAATTATTTCAGCATAATCATGGTGGAATTTCTTGAGCAAGGTATTTTACCACCACGCATTATTGAGTCTTTGTATAAGTGTGGTCGTTAGATCGCCTTCTCATTAAGTGAATGAGTGAGTATGGTTTTACGCCGCTTTTAGCAATATTCCAGCAATATCACGGCGGGGGACACCAGAAATGGGCTTCACACACTGTACACATATGGGGAATCGAACCCGGGTATCCGGCATGACGAGCGGACGCTTTTAACCATTAGACTACCCCACCGCCCCCTTTACATTAAGACCGCATTGTGAAACGGATGAACAAGTGATTAAACGCATGAGCATTGGTCCACGCAAAAGGTTCATGTTGGCATTCATAGGAACAAGGTATGACCACCCGATCCAACGCGGGCAGTCCTTGCTAAGGATCAGGGCCTCCTTTCACAAAGCACTAAGGTGAGTCACTAAGGTAACCTTAGTGCAATGTTAAAGAATAGGAGTCAAGGTTACCCTTAGTAAAGGTTGCTTCCTGAAAGGAGCCCCTGAAAGGAGCTCTGGGCCCCATGGTGCATGAGATGGTGAACAGAATAACCCAGATAGTTTAATATCTCACATAGCCTTGCAGTGAAACACAATGAAAGAATATACACCTTCATTTGCGATAATAGACAAAGCAACTATGAAATATGAGCGAACGGTTTGTGTACAGTGGATGTGTCACCTAACCACCACTTCAGCTGACTGTGGGCGGGCTACGGCTGGTTGTGACAGGCTAGGTTTGGGACTCAAACGTCGAAGTGTTCTTCCACCGACTGTCCGTGTTTTTGAAGGCTCCTTCGCCTTGGATTTCAACGAAGGACGACTCCGTGTTGGCGCCGGGGTTGACGATGCCGTGGACTTTGAGCTCCTCTTCGGGTCGCCGACAACGTCTCCTGAAACAGCCGCGTTACAGATGAACTTAATCAAGTTAAATCTTTCAGTTGAATATTGAAACGATACTTTCGCTGTATTTAAGGTATGACTTTTGAGCACAAGAGGGTCAAGAGTAGGCAAGCGCAGTAAGCTGGTTCCCGGCTCCGCGTTGTTAACTTGCGACAAGTTGCGACGTAAAGACGGAGCATAGCTTATAAGCAAAGTGTTAGATACGTGTGCGTGCGAATATGTATTTGTGAACTTGCATGGATGTCATTAAAGCATGGCGCACGTTACCAAAAGCATAAATAGATACATCATTGAGTGAGCGAGCGACTGAATCGTATTTCTGAAGTAAGCCACCATATGTTCAGCAAATAATCGAGCCTGGACCCAAGAAACCATTGACTGACAGCTGGACCCGACAGGATGCCAAAGCCCACAATTAACCGTGCGATTCCCTGTTCAATAAAGCGATTCCTCTATATTAACATATAAACATACGATGGTCGTACCTCTAAGATCGCTTTATTGGGATCTCAGATGAAACATTGTAAACAGAACATCCTATTCTAACCCAGGATATATACTGAGAGAAACAAATAAAGGATCAGGGAAAATTTCAAGCGTTCCTTTTGATATTTTCTCGTTTTCATCACCACAGCGCTATTCAAAGCTCTTGACGAAAACTGAAAATAGTATAGGAACGCTTGACTTTCGTGTGATCCCTTATTTGTTTCTCTCAGTATATATCACGCTCTCATTTAGCAAGCAGCCACAGTGGTGCAGGGTATGGGGTTTTGAGGACGTACCAGGCAACGACTCCACCGCCGATAACACAGATGACGATGATGATGAGAGTGATCCCAAGACTGATGGCTGCAACTTTGTCTGAAGTCATAAACCAAGTACTGTGTTTGTACATGTACAGGCTATAGCCCTGGTTAGGTGGACAGACTGTTTGTGTGTGAACATGTACACAGGGTAGCCCTGGTTACAGACCCTGTTGTTAGGTATACAGCAGTGTATAGCGGTCAGTGTTTACCTGGTTTCACAGGGGTAGTGTTGGTCAGTTTGGTCTTCGTGGTGTCCAAGTCTCCGGGCACTCTTGAACCTGATGCACATCATGAATGTTTTCAGCCTCAACTCATTTTGTTTCGAGTTATCCGTAATTCGAATTATACCGATCATGATTATATAGACTCTATTGGAATCTTACATTCAGCGAATTGGCTAAAATAATATCTCATTTTACAGGGTTCGAGGTTTCAGTTTCAAATGCAATTTAAAGGATTTAGGCATTATTGGATTTACTGACACACTATGCAATACACAATTACAAACGATTTAAAAATTCTACTATATCTTTCTGTGGCTAAATTGACATAGTAACTTGATTATACGCCATAGGTAATGAAGTATTTTATCTCCGCTCCCCACACATCCCCGCCCCAGTCCATAGCACCCCTTCGCCGCTGTCGTCCTTACCCTCATCGTCACACGTGAACCACAGCACCCCATCCTCATCCTCATCAGTCTTACCTTTATAGTCACATCGTAGCCCCTCCCACCCTGGGGAACATCCCAGCAGACAGAAGCCTGTTTCAGACTCGCATGGTATACCATCCAGACAGTGACCACACATGACAGAGCAGTTGGTGCCGTAGGAACCATCGGCACACTCTGAAAGCATCAAATACGTACCACTATTATATGTCACTGAAACTGCCCAGAGGACAGCATACCGTTGACCTTGCCACCTTTCTGGTCATGCCCAACATTCATTTGTAGATTTACGATAAATTTACTCTTAAAATCAGAAAAAGATGAAAGAAAAAGGATTATGAGGAACTCGTGGTCATGTCAAGTATTCGTCGAGCAGAGATGCATCCCTTATTCGTACGTGGATGTGCTGGTCGTTGTGACCGGATTACAGACCCTACAATCACCATGTGACCATGTTCACTACACTCGCCAAAACAGTATACATTTTTAACCCGCTGGGTATATCAGGAGTGCTCTTCAACACCGAGTTAAAACAATTTTTCCCAACAACATAGCCTTTAGCTTCGTGACCCACTGGTGTTATTTCGGGAGAGGCCGAACAGCGAAGGTGACGCGAAAGGGCGAGTAGTGACGAATGGCCCTTCATGTTCTGCTACACCAAATCAGTGACTGAGAAACGTTTAGTTTTACGCCGCTTTTCGCAGTATTGCCGCAATATCACGGCGGGGGTCACCTAATCAGAATGAAAAGTTTCTGTAGCCTTCGGTGATCCGTTTGGCACCTATGATCGGATGATTTTATGTGACGTGTTTGTGTTCTTTTAAAGCGCACATCCATCTGGTAATTCCGGAAGTCAAAGCTTAGTTTTGGGGTAACTTTCACCTACCGTGTTCACACTTGTCTCCCTTGGTCCCTGGGTAACAGCCGTTTTCACACATCCCCGTCACCTTGTCACACGGCTCTTCGTCCTTGCACCACCCACACTCCTCCTTGCAGCCGGGGCCGTAGGTCCCCGAAGTACACTCTGTACAGCAGTAACAGTGGGCCAGGGGAATTAGTAGTGTGAGTGAGTGAGTTTAGTTTTACGCCACTTTTAGCAATACATGTATTCCAGCAAAATCACAACTGGGAACACCAGACATGGGCTTCACACATTGTACCCATGTGGGGAATCGAACCCGGGTCTTTGTAGTGACGAGCGAACGCTTTAACCACTAGGCTACCTTACCGCCCCTGAATCAGTAGGAGGATGGAGACGAGATTCTGAAGATGGTCTCATAACGCGTTACATTAGTTCGCTCCGCTAATCGTGTATTGGAAGCACAGGTTGATCAACACTACCATACTATACACTTGGATAAAAGTATATAAAAACTATGACTTTTGAACCCTATTGCAGTCATTTAACTTCATATCATAATTATGTTTGTATCATTATTTCTAGCCTTCGGGTGCACCCTATATTGATTTCAGATATGCATGTGTTATGATCCAAGGCGAGCATCACGTGAAGCACGTGTACCCGTCATTAAGCAAGTATCAAGTTTCATTAAACTGTTCTTTCAGCTCAATAGCTTGGACATTCAACTGACTTCGTTGATGATAGGCAAATATGGCTTCCCATCAAATGGCAACTGCTCAAAGACAGCACGTTATTGGTATGCGGTATGCCTGCATGTCACTGGGAGTTATTGCAAGATATGTTGGTTGTCATCCATCGACTATCAGCTGATTGGCCAGAAAAGATCAGCAAACTAATGACCAGCGTCTGATACAGACAGACAGACAGACAGATTTTATTGACATAAGCCACATGGGCCTCTGGCCATACATACAATACAATATATATAATATTTATGTTGGATGGTGAGGATGACATTATTAATAAGTTAAAAGTTGTTTCTTACACGGAATGCTTCATACACATATCTACCTAGAGAGTGTTGAGTATTAATATTTTCTGATGATAATAACTGTATACATTTATAAAATATAAACTGAATTTTTTTTTACAATAATATATTTTTAAATAAATAGATCTTAGGTGAGTGTACGATGGACACTTGAGTAAAAAGTGAAATTCGTCTTCTATGTCATTAAGATAACATTTAGTACAAATTCTTTCATCCCGTGGGATTTTATTACTACCATGTCTACCAGTTTCAATTAATAATGTATGAGATGATATTCGTAATTTACATAATGCAGACCTAGCTTTGGTTACAATTTAAAACATTTACTAAATACATTTCAAAGCCAAATTTCACCTTAAATTGTTTGAATAACATATCAGTAGTAGATGTCCTCATCTCCTGGTACCAATACGTAATGAATTTATCTTGTAGTCGTTGTTTTAAGAAAGACATGATACAGTCAACGAAGAGGGTCAGGTATGTCATTCCTGTTGGCGGAGGTCACACCAGATATTGGCATTGTGCTCAGTTATTGATATTTATGCGATTTCTTGAGGTTTTATGCAAGAACTTGAACATGACCGTACTTGTTTAAAATGTCATGCGACCATAGTTATCTGCACTACAAAATGAGTCAGTGTTTTAAAATGTTTGCTTTTCCAAATAAGCTACAGTTTTTCGTTCTTTTTGTGTGCTTAGATAAATGACTTTGGTGTCGTTAATGGTGACATATTAATGCTGTGAAAGTGTATGGAGTGTTGCAACACTTTTTGCATGTGTATATTATAGCGTTGCCACAAGTATCATATGAATTTTCTAGAACATGGTTAATGACAAACTTTTGACGACAATCGTCTCGTCTTGATTTGGGACATGCATGCCAGTGACATCACGAATAACGAGCCATGCTGTCGAGGGGCAGGGTGCCAGTTATTCAAACAAATCAAACACTCAGTCATTATCTACTACTGGTCTTACAGCAAGGACAACTCTGTTCCTAATGCTGAAACAAACAATAGGTAAACGTCTCAGGGTATCAGTGTTCAGGTCGTTCAGGGCATGGACCTGTGACCTGTGACATGTGACCTTAACCTACCTGCATCACAGTTACAGCCAGTCCAGCTAGGGGCACACTCTCCAGGACAACGACCTGTGACCTTGTCACATGGCTCCCCATCTTGACACTGACCACACTCCAACTTGCAGTACATTCCCCATGTGCCGTCTCTACATTCTTGAGGGAAAACACACGTAGTTTAGTTGGGCGATCGATGAAGCTATGTTTTAAGTTATTCTGTATTTTGTTTCTTGTTTAAAGCCGCAATCTTAAGCTACAATAATGCTCGCTTATCCAACAAACCAATGACTGACATCATGAACAACGTCAGACATCAAGCCGGTACGTTAACACGTGATCATGCAGGTCACCAGCTCTGACCATACAACCTATGTGTGACAAGTATAGCCAATCCTAGCCCGGAATACACACTTGGTTCAGCTACCGCTAAAAGATCTTAGGACGTCCGTTACAGGTCACGTGAGATCTATCGTTGGTGACAGACCAATGAAATACCTAACAGCTGAAGTTGATATTAACCCATTAGAGAGCAGCTGTCTCCAGCTTTACGGCATTAGGTTCAAATGGGCGACTTCCATTCCATGTCACGCTTTAAAAACTCATTGGCAAAGTTCTCGAATTAAATTTTGAAAACTGAACAAATTTGATTCATTGTGGAGTGGCCAACAGATGTCCGAGATTATATAGCAGTGTTTCACACGTGCTTTTAAAGTATTTTCGGTTTGAAATGTATATTTCTTTTTGACGGACTGTCGTTCGGACTACTCTGTTTACGGGTTGACTGATTAGAGAGGACAATCCTAATCTGGTGAGCGACGTTTTGAATTGATCGGACAGAGGATCGTTCTCGATCCATAATAGGGTGTCCTCAGGTCTTTGTTTTCGGATCTTAATGAGAATGGTCAAACAATCACAAACATAGTACATTGTCCAGTGGGCAATAGGTACCTGTGGGAATAGTTGAAAAGTCGGATACCCTGCGGATCGCTCAATCCAATTTTAGAAATATTCAAATGTAAACACCCTGTATATTCGAAAACGAAAACTATCCTTTCAACGTATTTTAGTACCTAAACCTTTATACGCGTTAGTCACAGGCATGTATAATCTGACACACCAAACTGAGTTATGACCTTTCTGGCAGATTTAATGGGGCCCGAGACAGATCTGACAGAGACAATGCCCCTACCTTGATCACACCGTGTTCCGGTCCAGCCATCAGCACAACCGGAAGTACAGATTCCAGTCGTAACGTGGCACAGCGCGTCATCCTTGCAATGGCCGCACTCCACACATCCCAGACCAAAGGTTCCACGTGGACATGCTGGACATAGGTGACCATGCGTGGGTGAATTAAACAACTGACTTCAATATATTGGCAACACAGATGCACACGATGTACGTGGTTGTATACCTCCATAAACGCAAAGAAATATATTGAAGTAAATTTCAAACATTAAAAACATCAAGAATTCGACAGTTAATCCTGAACACTAAACGATGAAACAACGATATCATATGACTAACCTGCGTTTGTTGAGACGCCCCACCCACTGCTTATCAGCTTATCAGGAAAAACATATTCCGCTAGTGGGCGTGGTCTATTTGTTTTAAGGTTCATTGCCTCTGTCACTATTCAAATGATATGAAATCACCTACAATTATAATACTACCTCAACTCCTTTACTCTGTTCACGTTGTAGTCCTAATACACGGAGGTACATTTGCACACTGACGGGGCCGGAATATTGTGTTGATGTCATATCGAGGTAATGAAAAATGACTGAAACAACGTCTGGCGTTTATGGAGGTGTGTAAAACGGGGTGTTCAAACGTCATTACACATTGCTGATAAACACGTAAACATAACTGTATTCAAGTCAACTATAAATGATACAATATTAACTTCACCAATATAAACTTACCGGCAAAAGAAAGTATACCATTTCTCAAATTTTAAAGAAATATTTTTGTAGGTTAATTATACACTGAAACATGTCGCCCCAACGTAGCAATTTGATACCCGCAGTGAAATTCACCTGCACGTCGTGAATAAAACGTCGAAGTGGTCAATTGTATAAACCATGGTTTGGGGCCTCTGAGTTCCACATGCACTAAGGGTAAAAAAGTTAGTGTGCGGACAGGTTACACATGCAGTTTGAAAAAGATCACAACAGATATGCCACGACTATCAGCAGTTGAACGTGAGAGGGCCATAGGTATGCTCAAGATGGGGTCGACACACGTCAACGTTGCAAGAACCTTCGGCTGCACCCGTGTAGCTGTCTCTGGACTGCTGCAACGTTACAGGCAGACGGACCAGACACAGGACAGGCCAAAAAGTGGGAGACCGCGAGTAACAACACCAGCTGAAGACCGGAATTGAGGACGTTACACCTGAGAAACCGTTTTCTGACGGTAACGTCATCAGTGGCGAATTCCCTTGATCACCGTGTCAGTCGATACACGGTGGCTAGACGTCTTCGGGCAGCAGGTATCAGAGCCTACAGACCCTTCAAAGGACATGTGTTGACCCCTGAACACAGACGTCACAAATTGCGTTGGGCCCGAGTTGTTCGTCGTTGGCAGCGACGAGAGAAACAACGTGAACGTTCTACAGTGGCCAGCACGTTCTCGAGAGATGTCCCCGATCGAGCATATGTGGGATGCACTAGACAGGCGCGTGCGGAAACGCCCTAACCCACCACAGAATGAAAGGTATCCTCCCATTTGTCAGACGTGCCATTTGTCAGACAGGATAAAACAACAAACTATCTTGTTGAGTGCACAGCTAATCCCCTGTCTGTTACCTCTTAATGAAATAGGAATGGCCCATAAAACAAATAACAGAAATCAGAAATGTAAGAAATCAGAGAAGACTTTTTAATAATAATGATAATAACAATCAAAATAGTGATCACATCTAGTACAAGTAAGCAAATCAGTATGAAATCAGCCAGAATTGATTATATTAGAGTAGAGTTCAATATTGTCAGCCCAGTTTCAATAAGTGTCCAACAGCATCCAGGAATTGAACAGATGTCTTCTGGCCACTTGTCAGCTTCTCTTTCAACCGGAGCAGTCTCCCCTCAAGACTCTATGTACACCTTCTTCCTGGGTGGGGGAGTGGCACCAAAGTCAATCTGCGTTAGCTTAGCACCTTCCGATGTCTCTATGCCTTGGATCAGGTCCACAAATCGGTACAGGTTTGGGTGCTGATGTGGGAGACTTCTGTTCACACGAGCATGAAATCCCTCCAAATTGATGTTTGTCCTCGGTCCAACTGTGTGGTGATGATTCCATAGGGGTAGAGGAAAACGGGCGTTGTCGGCAACCCATGTCGTCACCATGTAGTCATTGAAGCCTTGGGACCTTGCAATTTCATAGTCTCCAACCAGGCTTCTTGTACATCAGGAAGAGGAAGTAGGGGAAGTCCAGCCGCTCTTCGAATCCAACTCTGCACTTGGGGATCTTCCTTGTACTGGACAGCTAAGCCTAGATCTTGAGTTTTCCTCCAAATAGCCTGGGTATAGTGGAAGAAACACCCCTTGATGTCTGCTGTGGGGAACTCACCCTCGACTGCTCGAATGGCCGCCATCTCGAAGTCTGTCTGCACAGTAGCTGGTGACAAGGGTTGGTTGAGAATCTGCTGCACCTCTGTCTTCAGCAGCGTGAACAGCCTGGCGTATGTTGTCGGTTGTCGGTTGGGCAGCAGGGCGAAGACAAGTGGGTACATCGTATATCCACTGCGGGCATGTACAGTGTACAGCTGGTTCCAAAGGTTGGGGCAACAGGATAAGGTACCATCCATGTAGATCGTATTTGCTTCGGAAAGATATCCCAGTTGCTCATCAGTGGAAAAGATCAGGATCTTGTCTTCTTCGCCATCTTCACAGAGTAGAAATCTTCTGCCATCTCTGGTTGTGGCCCACCGAAGTACATGTACAGGGACTGTTGTTCGGCGATGTCGGTAGAGGGAACTCTTCAAGCTTGGGAAGGAACTTACAAACGCAATCATAATCTGGTTAATCTGTATCACTTAACGAACTTGAGAGCGGGGAGTAGCCTGCTCTGTTCACAGTTTGGAGCAGCTCATTAATTAGTGGACAAGTCCAGGCAGTTACACTGGTCACACGGAATAGACAGCAGCTTGCACAAGCCCTCCAGGACGAATGACGTCGCATACCACGTGACCTTGTCCACGTGACCTTGTCCTTCGGCTAGAAGGGAGGCTGCGTGCCTGTATTGATTCAAGCAGGGAGACTATATAACGTGTTGTAGATTATCCCTGATTCAAGGGATGGGCACACAGGATACAAAAGTGATGGTAGTGAACATGTATTGTGTGTAACTCAGTACCTGCTTATCCTCTATATGACTGAAAACTGGTCTTCAGGACCACAAGTGAACTTGCGCATGTCTGGCGCCACGTGTTTCTGTAGTATGCGTGTGATTTGTAGCTCAGGTTGAGTACAGATGTTATTAACACCCCTGCATTATGTTTGTGTGTCTCGGTAGTCTGGGTCAATGATAATGACCTCTTGAAAACCTTGTATACTTTCTTTTGCCGGTCATTTTATTATTTAATCATTAACACAGAAGACACTGAAGACAACAGTCCGGAAGCAGTGATATTGTAGCGCTTTGAGCACCAACTTAATGGTTGGATTAAGCGCTATATAAATTTTCTGTATTATCATTGTTCAGTAAAAGAACACAAGCCCCGCCCACTTCATCATCAGCCAATCAAGAAACACAATTGTAAAAGCCCCGCCCACTCTATCATCAGCCAATAGGAAACACCTCCGTAAAACCCCGCCCACTATATCATCGTCAGTTCAAACCTTTCTTACCTTTATCACAGCGATAGCCCGACCACCCAGGTTCACAGTCGGTGTCGGGGGGACAGATGCCGTTGACTTGGTCGCAGGCTGTGTTGTTCCCGCAGTGACCGCAAGTATTGCTGCAGTTGGCGCCATATGATCCCGACATGCATTCTGAGGAGATAATGATCCTTCTCCAGTTAGGAAAAACTGATACCATGTTTACTGACTCGTGATTTGGAACAAGTAATGGCGCGGTTACTGCGTCGTCTCATTCTCACTCGTTAATCGTTCAGCTGGTATTTATTTAGTTAAATATATGGATAAATATAGACGCCTTTTCTTTAATCGATTGCCCCCATTGTATACTTGCTAAAATAAACAGGAAGTGAACCTTGAAATAAAGATATCAGATTGAAAACTACGAACCGGTACGGTCTTTCGAAAGATGGCGCCCCTACGGATCTAGTACTTGTTGACTTTTAAAATAATGTAAGAAAGTTGAGGATGAACGTTTTGTATAGGCTTTAAGAATATGAATCTTTCAAAAGGTGTGATTTACCTTGATCACATTTCTGTCCCATCCACCCTAGGTCACATCCGGTCTCGCACCTCCCCGTTTCCCTGTGGCAATTCTCGCCGAGGCTGCAGTGGCCGCACTTCTGACAGCCGACACCGTGTGTGGAGTTGGGACAGACTGAAACAGTGCAGGGAGTTGTTGACGTTGACGTGACAGACGTATTGCCTAGATTGAAAAGCAGAGGTTACGTCCACAGAAGCAGAAACCTCTCGTTGTAATAACGGGTAAATCCTTTGATAATCTGCGGTTTTTTAATCATGAAAAGTATTTTGGCAGTTTTACTTGGTTGACTGCGCGTCATCATACCCGACTGCTTGAGGCATTGCTCATTATATCTAATGTACCCGGGTTAGAATTGGTCTTCAGCAGCCAATGCTTGTCAGAAGAGGCGACTAACGGAATCGAGTGGTCAGGCTCGCTGACTTGGTTGACACATATGTCATCGTGTCCAAACAGCGTAGATGCTCATGATGTTGATCACTGGATTGTCTTGTCCAGGATCGATTACTTACAGACCGCCGACATATAGCTGGAATATTGCTGAGTGCGGCGTAAAACAACAACCAAACAACACACGTTTGTCGAGATTATATAATCAAGCCGCAGTGATATAGCTGAAATATTGCTGACTGCCGAGTTACCCTACATTCACTCACTCACTCCACGTACACTCGTCGCAGTGGTCCCCTGTCCATCCAGGCTCACAGAGCCCAGGGCAGTGTCCGGTGACACGGTCACACTGGGCCTTGTCCTTACAGTGACCACACCTTTGGCAGCGAGTGCCGTACGTTCCTTTTTTGCAGGCTGAAAGAAAAACTGACATTGACATATATCCCAACACAAACCTGTACTAGAAGTACGATCCTCGATAGAGTAGTGAAGCTATGGATAATATTAGACAATGATAACTAACCTCTATAGTCCGGACGGAATCGGTCACTGTAAAATCCGACATATTAAATGTCCGTATTAGGGATCACATTTATGGAGATATGTTCCTGGTGATTTTCATATTGACGGGACCAGGTTTATTAAAGTGTGATTTGAGACTATCAACCCGCGAAGATCCGGGTTAGAATTGGTCTTCAGCAACCCATGCTTATCCTAAGAGGCGACCTGCGGGATCGGGTGGTCAGGCTCGCTGACTTAGTTGACACATGTCATCGTATCCCAATTGCGTAGCTGGATGCTCATGATGTTGATCATTGTATTGCCCGGTCCCTGCTCTATCATTTACATGCTGCCACTACAAAGCTGGAATATTGCTGAATGCGGGCATTAAAAAAACAAAAACAAAAAAAACTCAAATATGAGACTTCCCTCGCTTATCCACTAAATGTATATTTTATTGTGATGAATACACCGTTCCCATTCGTTTTCAACATGATTTGTAAGATACGAGAAGATCAAATTACAGTGTAATCACGAACGAGAGGAATTCAGTTCAATTCTGTTCTATTAGAGACATGGGAGTGATGACGCCACTTCCGGAAAGACGTGGTGCTGGCGAATGGGTCTAAGGTATGTGTCAGGATACAACTAAGAAATGTTACACCGGATGACCGGGGATGTGTCGAGGCGACAGCTGGTCACCCTCCCTCGCGTTGGCTACTGACCTCGCTTGCACCTGATGCCCCTCCAGCCCGGCTTGCACCCCTTCTTGCACCGCCCGTAGTTAGGGTCACAGTCGCCTGGGCATGCGCACTGGCCACAGCGTAGGACACATCGTGAACCGTAACGACCCGGTGGGCAGTCTACAACATCAGCATTGTGTATTTGCCATTGGACATGATTAAATTATTATTCTGTTCAATATATTTCAAGTGTATATTTTAATAATTATATATTGTTTCCAAAGGCCTGATCGATATGCATCTCGTCTTGTCTCTAACTTTTCAACGAAAATTGTTCTCCAAAACATACATATTTCGTGGTCAGTTTACGCCATTATTGGTAATAGACTAAGTGTGTGAGTGTGTGTGTGCGTGCGTGTACAGCTGCCTGTGCATGCACTGGGGATCATCTTATTCAATAAGATAAGTAAATATTATATACTTCCTTCTTGGATGGGGTGGTGGGGTAGCCTAGTGGTAAAAGCGTCCGCTCGTCACGCCGAAGACCCAGGTTCGATTGCACACATGTGTACAATGTGTGAAGCCCATTTCTGGTGTCCCCAGCTGTGATACTGCTAGAATATTGCTAAAAGCGGCGTAAAATTATACTCACTCACTCCTCCTTGGGTGACGATTGGTATTTTGGTCCCAAGCATATGCTATAAATAGTTTATAAGGGTATAAAACGGTTTACTCAACGACATCCCTTTATACTTTCAGGAGGCGCGGGTGTCAAGGTCGCCGGAGTCGTCCCAAGATTTCACAAAACAACAGTTGCTTCCCTTAGCCGTACCAGAACATATTATAGCGGGTTCGAATCCCGGTTCGCCCTCCGTAAGTTTCTGGGTTTATCATATTTCCCCGAATCGGTACACTTCGAAGATATGAATTGTTCCGGTCTTTTTCCTACTTCCGCGGTGGTATATAGGTTCAAGGTTAAATCCAACTCACTCACTCACTCACTCACTCACTCACCCACCCATCCACGCACGCGCGCAGTCACTCAGCCACTCACGCAACCAGCCAACCAACCAACCAACCAAGCAGCCAGCTCCCACCCACTCACCTTTCCTGACCTGCCAGTCCCCAGAATGACCATGGGACATGGCCTGTATATAGTTAATGGTGAACTTGTTGCTTCCCCGATGGGACATCAGCTTGTTCTTGTATGGCGTGTTGCCTCTGCCGATCTGTATCAAGCCCTTGTCGTCCCACGACAACCAGAACACTTTGTAGAAGGAACAGTACAGCATCCTGATGGAGCTAGAGGCCTTGGCCGTGCAGGTCAAGCAACCCTCCAAGATGGATGACAGGCGTGGCTTCTCGGTCCGGTCGAGCATGACCACATAGTAGGCCTTGGTCTTCTGGTAGAGGACTGTCTCTGTGAGGATGAGGTAGGCCTTGGAGCAGGTCTTCACCTTCAGCACCATGGAGTGGGCGCCCGTGATCTTCACCCCGACGTCGTTGATGTATTTGACGTGTTTGCCGGATGTGTTGAAGGACACGTACTGATCTTGAAATTGTGGAGGGATATTAGTGTTGTGTTGTATACATACTATGTTCATAAGGGTACACACAAGTCCTAGGACTCGGGTAGAGTCATAGCTCAACGTAGAGAGCCATAAATGATTCTCAGACTACACGATATTGAAACACAAAACAGTCACCAGTACTCACCAGGTGTTGGGTCTCACCAAACCTGCACAAATGAGTCAGACTCGCTGTTCATAAGTGTCTCACCAAGCTTGTACAAAGGGTTGGTTGGTTTGTTTAACACCGCAATCAACAATATTCCAGCTATATGTCAGCGGTCCGTAAATAATTGAGTCTGGACCAGACAATCCAGTGATCAACTGCATGAGCATCGATCTACGCAATTAGGATACGATGACATGTGTCAATCAAGTCAGCGAGTCTGACCACCCGATCCCGTTAGTCGCCTCTTACGACAAGCATGGGTTACAGAAGATCAATTCTAACCAGGATCTTCACGGGTAGACGCCAACTGGAGAATTGACACAGGACAAATTGACAAAATCTGCGAGATGTGAGAGGAGCTGTGACAAAGTATGCACACTAAACAAGTGGCAGTGGCTGAAAGCTGCAAATTGCGACCTTGAACCATTTCTCCAGATCCTTCCCTCTCCTGATTTAGTCAGTCCCACAGTCCCGGAACCACACCCACCTATTTATACCCGCGTTCCCTATACCCGTATCCTATTCCAATTGCATATAGATTGATGGTCATGGTGTCAATCACTAGATTCTCAGGTCCAGACTCGATGACATACAGATCGCCACTATATGTCTAGATTACAGAGTGCGGCTTTAAACATACAAAAATCAAAACATGCATGAAACCATCCGATCACCATTTCACTTCAAGAAGATAAAAATATTAAAACAAATTTGTTTCGCAATTCTACCCTGATAGAAGTAACCACAATATATTTGACCGTGTGAGTGACTCAAAATTTAATGTCACGTCGTTGGTATGTCAGCCTATTGTGACTAAACATTGTGAATTATCTATCAGTCCGAGATTCTTGTTATTCCTTGTTCTGCAACCATGTAAAATATCCGATACTTACATGCATCAGTGTAGAAGACTTGAGTCAACACTAGGATCAGTACCAGTCCCATGGACGTGGGAGTAAAAATATGTCGATCAGCATCCATGACAAACATCAGCTGGTGGGAAAGATATTCGTTAAAATCCACCACTGCTAATTAGCAGTTGTCGAATTAGAGTTTAAAAGTCCCAGCTATGATCGACCTCATAATCACAACAAAAATTTGCAGTAAGCGTGAATTAACTGCTGAGTATACTTATTATGAGCAGGTTTGGTGCAAACAAACCAGTATTTAAGTGAGTTAAATGTTACGTCGCATCAACATTATTTCAATCATATAGTGACGATACCAAATCTGCGCATAGACCCAAGTCAATTTTAAATAAATTTACTAAGTTTAAAGGAGTTTCTTAAAATACATATGTCTACAGTATTAACTGCAATTAGAAAAGGCATAACACCAAATTTAAAAACAGGACATTTGACACATTACATATAGTTACAATTTATGATACAGACCATTTTCTCTTAAGTAGTTCATCATGCCCGCTAAGGAGGGCCAGTGTAAGGTGACGTGGCTTTATGCAAATTGAGTACGGACCCTCAAAGATACGGGGAGTATGACGGCAGTTTGGATTGTCGGACATACGCTGTTTGTCTTATACATGATAGTTGCCTTTAAAGTGAACTGATTTATCCTGTTTTACAACATTCGAGACGACACTTTTCACATTAAAAGTACAACAATTGTATTAGTATCGTAAATGTTAAACATTTTCCTGCATTAAAACAACCCATGGCTATACCGTGCAAGGTACACCAATTCTTTCTTTTATATTCAGTGTTAATTTTAATTAATGTAATAACTAAAAGTGTTTCACTTACTGCCTGAGCGTACAACCCCCTAGGATGTCGACGTCAGCAACACCTCGCACATCATCACCGACACACAGAGAAGTGAGCCTGTACGACAGTACCAGAGCCCCACTTGAATGTCGTGATCAATTAACGCCTGATGGAAAGTGTCACAGTAAAACACACATGCGTATATACACAGGAATCACCGGTAACGTGACAAACCCAACAAAGACCGGTATTCCTTTATTATACCATATACGAGCATTTTTGGCAAACTATTTGAAAATTCTCATTAAAGAGGTTGTAACTATCAAGTAAGTTTTCTTTGTGAAATTCGTTGTTGTCGATATAGCTCCAGAAATGTTGATTTTCTGAGCGATAAGATGTAGGCATTGTTTAGTTATGCGTGACATTGGAGCTGTGCCAATATTTTCTGTCTATCTTTTGCATCTTGCGTTTAAACATAGGCAAACCTTTCGTTGACGAATTGTTCATTATCAAAACAAGCTTGGAAGGGGTTGGTTTATTAACTACGTTTCTTATACATTTCTATTTTTTCACAATATAATCATGTTAGGTGTTATATTATTTAGCCTCTTCTATGCAGTGTCAAATATACATTGAACATACTTTACTTCTACCTATATTTCATGATTGATTTGTGTTAAGTTCAGTAGGGACCGTTTCAAAAATTCGATGTGTGATAAAACATTTAATTCCTTTAAACTTTGCAAGATACGTTCCCTAAGACGTCAGAGAGATGGTGCTAAAATGGTGAAAGAAATTCCAAAGTTAAACCAACGTATCAGTGTTTTAATTTCAAGGCTGTGGGGCAATATCAAAACCAACTCACCAAACGCGTTTTCATTAAGGTCTTTCATTAAGGCTAGAAATACCCATTAGCGTTATAACGCTTTGGGGGGCGGGACCTGCCGTCTGTGCCGCGTCATATCGTCACGTTACTGTATGAAGGAATACAATTATACTTAACATCACCTGCATGTGTGAGGAGTGAGTTAGTGAGTTAGTTAATATTTAACGTCACATCGGCAATATTTCAGCCATATCGTGATCATGTGTGAGGAGGGAATGGTGGAGTGAGTGAGTGGGTGAATGAGTTAAACTTACGCCGCTTTTAATAGTATTCCATAATTTTCACTGTTGGGGACGCCACAAATGGGCTTCACACATTGTACGTATATGGGGAATCGAACCATTGTCTTAAACCTGACGAGCAACGTTTTAACCAGTCGGCCACCCCAGTGATGAAGTGAGTGAGGTTTGTTTGACGCCGTTCTCTGCAGTTACATCACTGGGTTTCAGCTTAAGAACCAAAACCCCCCAAACAGTGGGCACCCTGGACGTTTTAGGCCATGGGTAGTCATGGCAAACTCAGCAATGTCATGTCATATCATATCATATCATATCTTATCTTATACAAACTTACACGGAATAAACTACCACCATTTCTGTATCCCGTATCGTTTTCGCTCTACACATAGATGCATGTCCCATAGCTCATTTTTGAGGAAGAGAGTGACAGAGTAGTCAAAACACTACAACAACCTCCTCCTGCTGCTGCTGCTGCTGCTCCTCCTCCTACTACTAGGTTCGATTCCCCACATGGGTACAATGTGTGAAGTTCATTTCTGGTGTCGCCCGCCGTGATATTGCTGGAATATTGTTGACAGTTTCATCTCACCGGACACCATTAACTGCCAGATGGACAAAAACATATCTGTGACAAGTCACGAAGACACCACACGCCAATTGTGCTTCAGCATAGGGCAGGACTCAAGGCTTAAACTTACAAGTCATCCAGCTTGGTCAACCATCCATTTTACATACCACTTACTTCGTCTTACAATTGTACGAAAATATACACATGAGCATTAATTAAGCACAACCTGAATACATGAGCAGCTTTAACATTCTGTTCCGAATGCGAGATCACACTACTAGTATCTGTTCCGAATGTGAGATCACACTACTAGTATCTGTTCCGAATGTGAGATCACACTACTAGTATCTGTTCCGAATGTGAGATCACACTACTAGTATCTGTTCCGAATGTGAGATCACACTACTAGTATCTGTTCCGAATGTGAGATCACACTACTAGTATCTGTTCCGAATGTGAGATCACACTACTAGTATCTGTTCCGAATGTGAGATCACACCATATTAGTATCTGTTCCGAATGTGAGATCACACTACTGTGTCGAGTATCTGTTCTGTTCGAATGTGAGATCATCTTGACGACAATCTTGAGATCGTCATTTTCGAACTAACGACCACTACTAGCTGTTCATGTTTAAAATCTGCAGGAATTGATCTGTTCATGGAGAAATATCAGAGGTTTCCGGCGAGGAGATCAACTGAGGAGATCAGATATATACTACTTAGACTCACTAGATCACACTACTAGTATCTGTGTGTGGTCAGCCACTTGTGAGATCACACTATTCGGTCAACTGTTCTAAACTGCTGGAATTCACATGTAAAGCACGCTAATGCTGATTTTGCAAAAGGTATTGTTTACAAGAACTAATGCATTGTAAAACAAATCTCGTAACTAACTGTTTAAAATCTGATTGGCGCAAGTGTCATGAGTTCCAGTAAATGATGAAAATCTACTTAGACTCACTAGTGAAAATTGGCGAATTTCTTAACTTGATTTTGCAAAACCTTTTACATGAACCAAAACAAATTAAGCATCTGTTCACATGAATGATATTTGCACATGCTTTTTGGGCAATTTGTTGCATGATCCTCGTGGACAATTCATCTGCATAGAGTTTGCAGTTGGTTCCAACAAGTTCATCGTCGATGTAACAAGTTAGTAGAGAAATTCATCGTCGATGTCCATGTAACCACACACACACATCGTCGACATAACCACACACACACACAACATATAGCGAGTGCTTTAGGTGAGTCTAAACTTTTGATGGGTAGTATACATTAGGGTGCGAGGGGTGGCGAAACCAGGTAACTGGAGGGTCATACAATCACAACAATCATTATTGGAGAACTGTGTTACAATCAGACTGGTGGGTCATACAATCACAACAATCATTATTGGAGAACTGTGTTACAATCAGACTGGTGGGTCATACAATCACAACAATCATTATTGGAGATGACCTTACTTTCAGGCACTATTCATATTCATGTTAAATTAAGAAATTTCAATTTCAGTTCTGTTTTTGTTTCAATCAGAGTAAATACGTTACAGTTACCATTTTAATACACAGAACCGGTTCTTAAAGCATTTACAGCACAGAGTGTTTTCGTCCAATTCATCTAAACACGACAGTGGGGCTTTATCATTGCTTGTGTGCACATATCCCTTGGAGGAGGGATTTTGTTTCACCTAGCCGAGTACACTTATAAAATAATGAAAATGTGTTTCTTCAGGATACGATTAGTGTCTAACAAACATGTACATAAGCCCTGTCTGCAGTGGCCTTCACAGGAATGGAGACTTATTTCCAGGTGTAAATCACAGCCATGCTCTAGGTGTGTCCTGCTGTCCAGAATCTCACACCTGAAGCAGCAGGTGTACACTCACTCCACATTACATACCATCGTATCCCAAATGTTTACATCGATGCTCATGATGTTGATCACTGGATTGTCTGGTCCAGACTTACATACACACTGCACAGCTGGAATATTGCTGAGTTTGGGGTTAAACAACAAACTACCAACCACTGAGTGAATGGACATCCATGTCATGTCGTACATACATCCAGTTGTTTAGTACATGACATGACATGACATGGGTGTCCACCCTCCCTCTAGTTGTATAACTCACATGGCAATGACCGTTCTGCTGAATGAAAAACATGAGCCACACCTGTCTGTGGTGAAATGTGTTTATTGGTCGACTATGAATCAAATGTTGATTTCCTTGACATTTGCTTCGGAACTAGACTGAATCATGTGTTTAATCAAATTTTCTAATACAATGGAATAATGAGTGTCACACAAACAGGGATTTCTTTGAGCTTGCAAGGCAGCACATAACCTGTTTGATCAGGTTAGTGTTAGTGTGAAGTGGTGTAAAACATCTAGTTTCATAGGGATCCAAACTGACACTTAGGTGTTCCTTGAATTGTGTCTTCATTTTAACTATGGAAACTTTAACAAGTAAAATAACAATGAAATATCACTAACAAACAATGAGCTGAGACACTGAAAATAATTTGGAGCAAAATAGTTACATACACGATAAAAATAAGACGATAAACTCATCGATGACCTTACCATCTATAAACAAACTTTGACTGGGCAGGATCACTGGTAACATAACTCTGTACATTTTACTTTTCATATAACATTGATCACTAAATTCAATATGTTATCTCTATTACATTCCAAACATCGGGGGATGGCAACAGGAAAATCTATTTTCAGCTGAAAACCTAATATTGTGTCACCGAATGGGGTTTTTGAATTGATCAATTTGAAATAAAATCGGCAGAAATCCACGGATCAGCAGAAAATTGCCATCCCTGAAAAATGGACCAACGGACAAAACAAGGGCAATAACTCTATGAAATTTGTACTGGGTATTCTGGTGATGGTGTTCGAATATGATCCACATAATTACCCCTAATGATGTTTATGAAAAAAGACCCCAAGTCTAAATAGGCCAAAAAATATCAGACAACAGCCTTAAGTCTGCAAGAAATAATGTTTTGATGGCAGTTTTTCCACAATATCTCCACATGAATAGAAAGATGTCAAATGTAACATGTTGTATGTGGGATTACATTTTCTTAGTTAAGTACTGTCTTGTACATTGTTACGTTGAGTCAGCGATCTCACTCTCTCAGTCACTGCAGCTTCCACTTGGGTTAGATGGCTGACATTGTGTGCTGGCCATTGGGTGCCTGACTGAGAGTGTGGGTTCGAATCCCGGATGGGACTCAACCCTACAAAAGTACTAAAATTTGTACTTTACTGAGAAAGCGCAATCACAAATAAATGTTGCATATATATTCCTCGACAAAATGTGCAAATTGCATTTTATATGAATTGTTTTCCCTTTTTATGAGTGTTTAGTGGAACTTAACCACTGAATATATCCACTTAACCATGTACAGCTGTGATGACTCAGACCTCAACAGGAATCATCATCTCAGTACCATCAACATATACTAGCTCTGGCTCCATGTTGGATATTACAGTGGCTCCAGGCAAAGTCAGAGATGGCAGCAGTTGACACGACATGACATTTAGGGCACTACTTTCTTTACTTTCCGTGTTTGTTCCATGGCAACAGCGTAGGTATACACTCGAGAGTCGATTACCACACCAGCACTGGCCATCTCTGAAACAAGGAAATGTAAGGACTGGTGAGTGAGAGCTGTCAGCAATATTCAGCAATACAACTACGAAGGACACCAGAAATGACTTCACACAAGTTACCTATATAGTAGCAAGCTATATCCAACACATTGTACATAGAGGATATCATATGAGTGCCCATGCCACACTATGTATAATACATGAGTGCCTAAATGTTGGTATTTTCTGAACGAGAGCGAGGGATATACCGATATTTAGGCACAAGTGCCGTAAACATAGTATGATATGGGCACGAATATGATATTCTGTTTATTACTGAAGTCGTCAAATTGAGGATTATAAACCCAAATCTACTTTCAAACATAGGCTGGCTACCCGCCGTCGCCGCATGTAGAACTCAATGTCACAGAAGAAACGTGATGTCATAGCATTGTTCTTGACGTCACGTGACCATGACAAAGTGATTTTACCCTATTGCATCGTATGAAAAATGTGAACCCCAATATTTTTGCCCTTGTAGGTAATAAAAATATGTAACTTCAACCAGAGCTATGCAGGTATTGTGGCACTGTAGTTAGGGTTGGGGTGGGGTGGGTGGGGGTGGTGCTTGGCACAGCTCAGCAAGGGGACACAACTCTGGAAGGTGCGTGGGGGCACCTCCACTCTGTATCAACAGAAGCAGTTTTTGTTTTCCCTCAATATACTTAGTTTAACTGGGATTTGAAATATAGGGTTCTTTGGTGTGAAATGTGTTTAATTGTATTCAATGCAGCGATGTACAAATGATATTTTTGAAGGATAGTTGGGGGAAAGAATCCTGTCATCAATACAAATCTCACAAATAATCCAATACTAAATCACATACCATTCAACTTATTGAGCAGTTCCTCCATCGGGACAACAAGGACGTCTATGAATTCTGAAACAATCAGTACAGAGAGACATGTATGGGAGATGTACTAAGAGAGAGAGAGTACTGGGAGAAGCTATGACCTATCTTCAGTTTGGTCACCTTGAAATGATAATTTCCTGTCTAAGGCTCTGTATCGAGGCTCTGTGTCTCACCTGAATATTCCTATTAGTTTAAAGTAACAAGGTTATACAGGAGTAAACATGATTAGGTAGTAACAGAAATTTCTTCTCAACAAACATTCTCACCTGATGTTCATCTGACAACATATGCATACAAGTATACATTATTTATTTATTTTTATTATTGGATATTTATATAGCGCACATATCCAGGCAACTAGTGCATGCTCAAGGCGCTGGTAGTTGTTCCCTTGATCATTGGATGTCAATCTCAACTTCACATCATATTATAAATCTCAACTCCCTGGGGAGTATACAACTCTTGCAGCCACTAGGCGCACCGAGTTAGTGTGGCTTTCTCATCCTAACGAGGTACCCATTCACAGCTGGGTGGACTGGGACACATAGTCACAGTACTTTGTCCAAGTTCACTGCACGTTGCTGTACCCGTAACTAGGTGTTTGCACGTATTCACGTGGCCACCATCTGGTCATATACCAACGGATTCGTGGGTTCTTTTAAGTGCACAGGGTTGTGTACTGTACACTAGGGGTTGTGACAATACTTAAAGAGTCTGCACACAGAGTTGACTCCAAGGTTCTTACACTCGGTCACAGGTGGGCTCGATCCCGACACCTCAACCTCGCTTGATTACTAGCCTGGCGTCTTAGCCAGCTCGCCCACCGTGCCCCACATTCTCTTCCAACAGAGATTACTCAAGTCATATCTTGAAGATGTCATGGTTGCAGAGAAACAATTCGTTCTTCGAACTCGTTGTTTCCCTGCTCCCATGACATCTTCTCGTTCAATACAAAACATCCAAATGCACTATAGTACTGTCGGAAATAGAAAAAAACTGTATTTTCTCATTTATCTCTACAATTGATGTAGTTGATATGTGCAAGTGTGAAATATCTCTTAAACTAAGTTCGGCCTAACTACAGTCTCAATGGTAGGGACACAAGACACGTAGAAAAAGGACTTTACTGAGGAGAGATTAGTGCAGAAATGAGCAATGCGATTTTTTTCTAAGTCCAAAACGAATTATTTGGAACAGACCATGGCTGTATGCAAATTAGTGTGCGACGATATTGTATTATAAAGGACACTTTTTAAGTGACCAATTTGAAATCAGACGTAGCTTCATTATAAACGGTAGCTGGCGTAAAAAATAATAACTTTCATGCTGAAACTATTAAGGATGTAGCTACCATGGAGTCTCACTGTCACTATAAAAAGAAACAGATAGGAGGGTTCGTCTCAAAAGCAAAACCTGGACGGGTGTCGGCGACAATCTTTGGAGTTGGGCTTGGGGATAGACATATCAGCTAAGATACGATAATCCTTTAGGGCAATTATACTGGGGAAGTACACGGTGTGTCATAACAATTTACAAATAATATCCAGTCCTGTCGATCTTCGCGATCGGGTGGTCATGCCACCAATATATTTTGAGACATTTAATACGATGCGTTTCTATGGTTATCAGGTATCAAACTCTTTTACATATCTCAACATAAACTTTATGAAAGAAAGACACTTAGGCTGTTAATCAATAGATGAGGCATAGTCAACACACATGAAAAAGCACAAAATAACTTTGAGATGACCCCTTGGACGCCTGTAGGCAGCACATGCATTTCATGCCAGGTGAGTCGACGGTCCGTTGTCATACCTGGCTGAGCGACCTAATTGCCATCTATAGTCCGATCTATTGTTTTCAGCAGCTATTTGTATTTTTGCCCGATTTTACGAGTAAACATGCTTTTCTGGATATCCTATTACGCATCCCACTGAATGCCAAGTTAGGCCGAAGTGGGTTTTTGGACATATGCTATTTGCAGTTATGTAAATTTTAGGGATACAGAGTAAGAGCCTAAAAACAGTTTTTTTCTATTTCCGACAGTACTATAGTATGACATTTTATATATTAACATCAGTTAAATTTGGGATTACAGTCTAAAATCTGTACTTTACTCAGAAAGTTCAATCCCCAATATAACATGTTACATTTCACCACTTTCTATATGAGACCGCCTCCGTGGTGTAGTGGTTAGAGCGTCCGCCCGGAGAGCGGAAGGTCGTGGGTTCAATCCCCGACCGCGTCATACCAAAAGACGTTAAAATATGGTACTTGTTGGTCCCTGCCTGGCTCTCGGCATTAATGGGTACAACAAAGACTGGTCAGCTCGGAGTCAGTATAATGTGTCTGAGTGGGGTATTCATGCTTCACTGCGGCATGGTATCTCAGTGGGCTAGCACTATAAAACCAGCTTCAGTCTGGGCTAGTACAAGCAGCCGCACATACACATACACATGCATGCACATCGTCATATGAGCAAAATATTCTCAAGCACGACGTTAAACCCAATTTCACCTCACCTCACTTTCTATATGACATTGTGTGTAGTCCAGCACATTGCTACTTTCGATCCTGAGACACCATGACACATGCTAAATATGACGTTTTCAATATGGCTGCTCTGTTGTCACAGCGTGACATAAACTTACTTCACTTTCAGTCTGGTGAGAAACTCAGTATTTACAACTGCAAGCAAACTGAAAGTTTCCCTATTGGTAGATGGAAGATAAAAAGTAACAAGAAGACAAAGTCATCAATATCCCCCGCAATGGCAAAATACTCTTCATGATTATGTCTACGAGTTATGATTATGTCAAATATTTAGGTGTGTATATAGAAAAGTGGAAGGAGAGCAGTGAAAGGTTTTTAAAGTTCTGCTCCAGAAAGGAGCACTATCACCAATATTAGTCCAAGTCAAACTTCTTGCCATGGAAATGCCAAAAATATTTTATTCAGAATTCCAAAACTACCAAAAGGCACCAGTACACCACCAGACCAATCTATGTGCTAAGTTTGGTGAAGAAATAGTGAACGATTTTAGAGTTCTGCTCCGGAAAAGAGCACAACCACCAATTTCAGTCTAAGTCAAACTTGTTGGCATGGAAATGCCAAAAATATTTTATTCTAAAAATCCAAAACTACCAAAAGGCACCAGTACACCACCAGACCAATCTATGTGCCAAGTTTGGTGAAGAAATAGTGAACGGTTTTAGAGTTCTGCTCTGGAAAAGAGCACTACCACCAATTTCAGTCTAAGTCAATTTGTTGCCATAGAAACGCCAAAAATATATTCAGAATTCCAAAACTACCAAAAGGCACCAGTACACCACCAGATCTATCTATGTGCCAAGTTTGGTGAAGAAATATGAACGGTTTTAGAGTTCTGCTCCGGAAAAGAGCACTACCACCAATTTCAGTCTAAGTCAAACTTGTTGCCATGGAAATGCCAAAAATATTTTATTCAGAATTCCAAAACTACCAAAAGGCACCAGTACACCACCAGACCTATCTATGTGCTAAGTTTGGTGAAGAAATAGTGAACGGTTTTAGAGTTCTGCTCTGGAAAAGAGCACTACCACCAATTTCAGTCTAAGTCGAACTTGTTGCCATAGAAACGCCAAAAATATTTTATTCAGAATTCCAAAACTACCAAAAGGCACCAGTACACCACCAGATCTATCTATGTGCCAAGTTTGGTGAAGAAATAGTGAACAGTTTTAGAGTTCTGCTCTGGAAAAGAGCACTACCACCAATTTCAGTCTAAGTCGAACTTGTTGCCATAGAAACGCCAACAATATTTTATTCAGAATTCCAAAACTACCAAAAGGCACCAGTACACCACCAGATCTATGTATGTGCTAAGTTTGGTGAAGAAATAGTGAAGGGTTTTAGAGTTCTGCTCTGGAAAAGAGCACTACCACCAATTTCAGTCTAAGTCGAACTTGTTGCCATAGAAACGCCAAAAATATTTTATTCAGAATTCCAAAACTACCAAAAGGCACCAGTACACCACCAGACCAATATATGTGCTAAGTTTGGTGAAGAAATAGTGAACGGTTTTAGAGTTCTGCTCTGGAAAAGAGCACTACCACCAATTTCAGTCTAAGTCGAACTTGTTGCCATGGAAACGCCAAAAATATTTTATTCAGAATTCCAAAACTACCAAAAGGCACCAGTACACCACCAGATCTATGTATGTGCCAAATTTGGTGAAGAAATATTCAACGGTTTTAGAGTTCTGCTCCGGAAAAGAGCACTACCACCAATTTCAGTCTGAGTCAAACTTGTTGGCATGGAAATGCCAAAAATATTTTATTCTAAAAATCCAAAACTACCAAAAGGCACCAGTACACAACCAGACCGATCTATGTGCTAAGTTTGGTGAAGAAATAGAGAACGGTTTTAGAGTTCTGCTCTGGAAAAGAGCACTACCACCAATTTCAGTCTAAGTCGAACTTGTTGCCATAGAAACGCCAACAATATTTTATTCAGAATTCCAAAACTACCAAAAGGCACCAGTACACCACCAGACCAATCTATGTGCTAAGTTTGGTGAAGAAATACACATTGAACGTTTTTAGAGTTCTGCACCAGAAAAGAGCACTACCACCAATTTCAGTCTAAGTCGAACTTGTTGCCATAGAAACGCCAACAATATTTTATTCAGAATTCCAAAACTACCAAAAGGCACCAGTACACCACCAGATCTATGTATGTGCCAAGTTTGGTGAAGAAATAGTGAACAGTTTTAGAGTTCTGCTCTGAAAAGAGCACTACCACCAATTTCAGTCTAAGTCGAACTTGTTGCCATGAGAAACGCCAACAATATTTTATTCAGAATTCCAAAACTACCAAAAGGCACCAGTACACCACCAGATCTATGTATGTGCTAAGTTTGGTGAAGAAATAGTGAAGGGTTTTAGAGTTCTGCTCCGGAAAAGAGCACGACCCCCAATTTCAGTCTAAGTCGAACTTGTTGCCATGGGAACGCCAAAAATATTTTATTCAGAATTCCAAAACTACCAAAAGGCACCAGTCACCCCCAGATCAATGTATGTGCCAAGTTTGGTGAAGAAATATCGAATGCTTTTAGAGTTCTGCTCCGGAAAAGACAAGAGTCATCAGAAGATGACATATCCCCCCGGCCCCCATATCTTTGAAAGAACAAATCATCTGACAGTTACTTAAAGTCCAGCTTGATTTTAGACTAAGTGCAAATCGTTTCCATGGAAATCATGAAAAAAATAAATGACAAAAATCTGCAAATAGCAAAAGGCACCACTTTGGGATCTGCCTCACATATCTGCCAAGTTTTGCTGAAAGATATTAAGAAGTTTTCGGCGTTGTGCTCGAGGAAACAAAACCTACCCCTCCCTTTTGAGACTAAGTCCAAATTGTTTTCATGGAAACTGAGAAAATAATAAATCACAAATATCTGCAAATAGCAAAGGCACCACTTTGGCATCTGCCTGACATATCTGCCAAGTTTTGCTGAAAGATATTAAGAAGTTTTCCAGTTGTGTTCGAAAGCGAAACCCATCCCTTCCTTTTTGAGACTAAGTCCGAATCATTTCCATGGAAACAGAAAATAATAAATCACAAATATCTGCAAATAGCAAAGGCACCACTTCAAGATCTGCCTCACATATCTGCCAAGTTTTGCTGAAAGATATAGAGAGGTTTTGAGTTGTGCTCTGGAAGCGAAGCCCACCCCTCACTTTTGGGATTAAGTCGAATCGTTTCCATGGAAACCGGAAAAATAAAAATGCCAAAAATCTGCAAATAGCAAAAGGCACAACTTTAGGATCTGTTTGATATATCTACCAAGTTTTGTTGAAAAATATTATCACGGTTTTTGAGTTGTGCTCCGAAGCGAAAGCAATCCTTACTTTTGAGACTAAGTCCAAAATGTTTCCATGGAAACCAAGAAAAATAAAAATGCCAAAATCTGCAAATAGCAAAAGGCACCACTTAAGGTTCTGTTTCATACATCTACCAAGTTTTGTTGAAAAATATTGAGCGGTTCTTGAGTTATGCTCGAGAGCGAAGCCCACCCCTCACTTTTGGGATTAAGTCCGAATCGTTTCCATGGAAACCGGAAAAATAAAAATACCAAAATCTGCAAATAGCAAAAGGCACCACTTAAGGTTCTGTTTGATATATCTACCAAGTCTTGTTGAAAAATATTGAGCGGTTCTTGAGTTATGCTCCGGAAAGCGAAGCCCACCCCTCACTTTTGGGATTAAGTCGAATCGTTTCCATGGAAACCGGGAAAAATAAAAATGCCAAAATCTGCAAATAGCAAAGGCACAACTTTAGGATCTGTTTGATATATCTACCAAGTTTTGTTGAAAAAATATTATCACGGTTTTGAGTTGTGCTCGGAAAGCGAAAGCAATCCTTACTTTTTGAGACTAAGTCCAAAATGTTTCCATGGAAACCAAGAAAAATAAAAATGCCAAAATCTGCAAATAGCAAAGGCACCACTTAAGGTTCTGTTTCATACATCTACCAAGTTTTGTTGAAAAATATTGAGCGGTTCTTGAGTTATGCTCGAGGCGAAGCCCACCCCTCACTTTTGGGATTAAGTCGAATCGTTTCCATGGAAACCGGGAAAAATAAAAATGCCAAAATCTGCAAATAGCAAAAGGCACAACTTTAGGATCTGTTTGATATATCTACCAAGTTTTGTTGAAAAATATTATCACGGTTTTGAGTTGTGCTCCGAAAGCGAAAGCAATCCTTACTTTTGAGACTAAGTCCAAAATGTTTCCATGGAAACCAAGAAAAATAAAATGCCAAAATCTGCAAATAGCAAAGGCACCACTTAAGGTTCTGTTTCATACATCTACCAAGTTTTGTTGAAAAATATTGAGCGGTTCTTGAGTTATGCTCCGAAGCAGAAGCCCACCCCTCACTTTTGGGATTAAGTCGAATCGTTTCCATGGAAACCGGAAAAATAAAAATACCAAAAATCTGCAAATAGCAAAAAGGCACCACTTAAGGTTCTGTTTGATATATCTACCAAGTCTTGTTGAAAAATATTGAACGGTTCTTGAGTTATGCTCCGGAAACGAAGCCCACCCCTCACTTTTGGGATTAAGTCCGAATCATTTCCATGGAAACCGGGAAAAATAAAAATGCCAAAAATCTGTAAATAGCAAAAGGCACAACTTTAGGATCTGTTTGATATATCTACCAAGTTTTGTTGAAAAATATTATACGGTTTTTGAGTTGTGCTCCGGAAACGAAAGCAATCCTTACTTTTTGAGACTAAGTCCAAAATGTTTCCATGGAAACCAAGAAAAATAAAAATGCCAAAAATCTGCAAATAGCAAAAGGCACCACTTAAGGTTCTGTTTCATACATCTACCAAGTTTTGTTGAAAAATATTGAGCGGTTCTTGAGTTATGCTCGAGGAAGCGAAGCCCACCCCTCACTTTTGGGATTAAGTCGAATCGTTTCCATGGAAACCGGGAAAAATAAAAATGCCAAAATCTGCAAATAGCAAAAGGCACAACTTTAGGATCTGTTTGATATATCTACCAAGTTTTGTTGAAAAATATTGAATGGTTCTTGAGTTATGCTCCGGAAGCTTAAGCCCACCCTTCTTTAAGACTAAGTCCAAAAGCGTTTCCATGGAAACCGAGAAAAATAAAAATGACAATTATCTGTAAATAGCAAAAGGCACCACCTTAGGTTATTTTTGACATATCTACCAATTTTGGTTAAAAAATATCAAAGCGGTTTTTGAGTTCTGCTCCGGAAAAACAATATTTTATTCAGAATTCCAAAACTACCAAAAGGCACCAGTACACCACCAGATCTATGTATGTGCTAAGTTTGGTGAAGAAATAGAGAACGGTTTTAGAGTTCTGCTCTGGAAAAGAGCACAACCACCAATTTCAGTCTAAGTCAAACTTGTTGGCATGGAAATGCCAAAAATATTTTATTCTAAAAATCCAAAACTACCAAAAGGCACCAGTACACAACCAGACCGATCTATGTGCTAAGTTTGGTGAAGAAATAGAGAACGGTTTTAGAGTTCTGCTCTGGAAAAGAGCACTACCACCAATTTCAGTCTAAGTCGAACTTGTTGCCATAGAAACGCCAACAATATTTTTCTTCAGAATTCCAAAACTACCAAAAGGCACCAGTACACAACCAGACCGATCTATGTGCTAAGTTTGGTGAAGAAATAGAGAACGGTTTTAGAGTTCTGCTCTGGAAAAGAGCACTACCACCAATTTCAGTCTAAGTCGAACTTGTTGCCATAGAAACGCCAACAATATTTTATTCAGAATTCCAAAACTACCAAAAGGCACCAGTACACCACCAGACCAATCTATGTGCTAAGTTTGGTGAAGAAACACACATTGAACGTTTTTAGAGTTCTGCACCAGAAAAGAGCACTACCACCAATTTCAGTCTAAGTCGAACTTGTTGCCATAGAAACGCCAACAATATTTTATTCAGAATTCCAAAACTACCAAAAGGCACCAGTACACCACCAGATCTATGTATGTGCCAAGTTTGGTGAAGAAATAGTGAACAGTTTTAGAGTTCTGCTCCGGAAAAGAGCACTACCACCAATTTCAGTCTAAGTCGAACTTGTTGCCATAGAAACGCCAACAATATTTTATTCAGAATTCCAAAACTACCAAAAGGCACCAGCACACCACCAGATCTATGTATGTGCTAAGTTTGGTGAAGAAATAGTGAAGGGTTTTAGAGTTCTGCTCCGGAAAAGAGCACGACCCCCAATTTCAGTCTAAGTCGAACTTGTTGCCATGGGAACGCCAAAAATATTTTATTCAGAATTCCAAAACTACCAAAAGGCACCAGTCACCCCCAGATCAATGTATGTGCCAAGTTTGGTGAAGAAATATCGAATGCTTTTAGAGTTCTGCTCCGGAAAAGACAAATGTGGACGGACGGACGGACCTTGCATATACGCCGAACAGGGTCCATTTTAATACCCTGCATAAAAGCCAAGTTGGGGATACAAAATGAATATCTACTAAACTGAATTACTAACTGAACATTGCTATGGACAAGAGCTGCTTACCTGACTCCTCTGATGATGTTGATGAAGTACATGAAAGACAAACAGACAACATCAATGCTGTATTCATGGAAACAGGTTACATCAGCACTAATCAATCAATCAGTTCTATATATATCACTATGTTACAATTCATAAATTGTTATATTTGCATGAGTTAGTGAGTGAATGACTGAGTTTAATGCCATTTTAATCAGTATTCCATATATAACAAAGTGTTCTTTGCATGAAATCCATGTTCTCAAATATAAAAATTGCTATGCCTCAAAAGACAGAATTAAACCACACACACTGTACATGGGGAATAAAATCTGGTCAACAGCCAACACTTTGTCCTCTAGACTACCCCTTGTGCTGCACATGTTGTAGGGTCACAAACACTTTGTCCACTAGCCTACCCCTTGTGCTGCACATGTTATAGGGTCACAAACACTTTGTCCACTAGCCTACCCCTTGTGCTGCACATGTTGTAGGGTCACAAACACTTTGTCCACTAGCCTACCCCTTGTGCTGCACATGTTATAGGCACATGTTATAGGGTCACAAACACTTTGTCCACTAGCCTACCTCGAAAGCTGCACATGTTATCACAAACACTTTGTCCACTACCCTTCTACCCACTTGTGCTGCACATGTTATAGGGTCACAAACACTTTGTCCACTAGCCTACCCCTTGTGCTGCACATGTTATAGGGTCTCAAACACTTTGTCCACTAGCCTACCCCTTGTGCTGCACATGTTATAGGGTCACAAACACTTTGTCCACTAGCCTACCCCTTGTGCTGCACATGTTATAGGGTCACAAACTCCTCTTGCACATGTTACATGTTTGCAAACATACTAGGGTTCACAGCCCAATACAAACAAGAAGACAAAGTCATCAATATCTCCCGCAATGAAAAAATACTCTTCATGAATATGTCTACAAGTTATGATTATTTATGATTATGTCAAATGTTTTGGTGTATAGATAGAAAAGTGGAAGGAGAGTATTGAAAGGTTTTAAAGTTCTGCTCCAGAAAGGAGCACTACCACCAGTTTCAGTCTAAGTCAAACTTGTTAGCATAGAAATGCAAAGATGTTTATTCAGAAATCCAAAACTACCACCAGTACACCATCAGACCAATCTATGTGCCAAGTTTGGTGAGTTCTGCACCAGAAAAGAGCACTACCACCAATTTCAGTCTAAGTCAACTTGTTGCCATGGAAACGCCAAAAAATATTTTATTCAGAAATTCAAAACTACCAAAAGGCACCAGTACACCACCACCAGACCAATCTATGTGGAATGTCTGGTGAAGAAATAGTGATCGGGTTTAAAGCTCTGCTCCAGAAAAGAGCACAACCACCAAATTCTGTCGAAGTCGAACTTGTTGCCACGGAAACACAAAAAATATTTTCTTCAAAAATACAAAACTACCAAAAGGCACCAGTCAGTACACCACCAGACCAATCTATGTGTCAAGTTTGGTGAAGAAATATCGAATGGTTTTAAAGTTCTGCTCCGAAAAGAACACTACCACCAATTTCACTCAAAGTCATCTTTGTTGCCATGGAAACGCAAAAAATATCATGATCAGAAATCCAAAACTACCAAAAGGCACCAGTTAACCACCAGACCTAACTATGTCCCAAGTTTGGTGAAGAAATATCGAATGGTTTTAGCTCCTGAAAACACCAATTTCAGTCAAAATCAAACTTGTTGCCATGGAAATGCAAGAAATATTTTATTTACAAATCCAAAACTACCAAAATGCACCAGTTCACCACCACCAGGGTGATGCAGTTTGGTAAAGGAATATTGAACGGTTTTAAAGTTCTGCTCCGCGGAAAAGAGCACCAAGTCCAATTTCAGTCAAAGTCATAATTGTTGCCATGGAAACGCAAAAAATATAATAATCAGAAATCCAAAACTACCAAAAGGTACCAGTACACCACCAGACCTATCTATGTGCCAAGTTTGGTGAAGAAATATTGAACGGTTTAAAAGTTCTGCTCCAGAAAAGGCAAATGTGCACGGATGCAAGGACGGACGGACGAACGGGAGTACATTTTAATACCCCCTAATTAAGGGCATTAGCTCAGTTGGTTTACCTGGATGTGATTTTGGAGATGTATTGATATCTTCGTCGCCATCAATCTGAAGAAACAAAAAAGTGAAAATTTGAACTCCTCTTGAATAATGTTTCATAAGTAGTTCAAAACATAGACAATGAATACTCAAAAAAACATAAGCAAATCTGAAAATGACAACAACTAAATATTTCTATTCCTTATATGAAAAATGTCATTCAAATCTATGCCAGCAACACATGGCAACATGCTACAATCGCTGAACATAATGAGACTGACTTATAGTTTGGCATGAAATGCATGTGGACCCGTTTTTTGTGTAACGGGGTAAATATCTCTTCGTCCAATGACCCAATCGATCTCAAACTGTGCAAGTGGATGTTTTGTCAGACAACCTAATCACATTGTAAATCACCAATTTTATGCTGTTGTATTAAAGAATCTGTCTATGTAACTGTCAACAAAATAAACAGCAGAATGCAGATTGCTTGCAGAAGGAGGGAGCCAATGACCTGTAACAGCGGCAGTGTCTGTTCGCAAAACATGTTACGTTGCCCATGTTTTGAGGGGTAGGTTGACTTTGAGAGCGTTTCGCCGTGCTGATAAGCCACCAATCGTAATGTGATTTGGGGTACAAATTTCACAGGTCACAAAATATGTTTAGCACCGATCATATGCGATTATCTCCCTTGCTTTGTTTATATTTTTGTCGTCTGCTATCATGCCGCCTGTCAACCGAGAATTGACACCTGACCAAAGAAATTTAATTGTTGACTTGAAACAGCAAGGCCAATCAAGCTACAAAAATTGCTGATTTGACAGGTATAAACCCAAGAACAATTCAGAAAATTTTAAAACGTTTTCGAGCGAGGTTCAGTTAAATCGTTGCCGAGAAGTGGGTGGCCCCGAAAATCGTCACCAAGAAGCTTTAACGACGGCTTTTTCGTCTTGTGAAAAGAAATCGCCGGCAAACACTTGGGGATTTGACAGCAAAATATAACAATCAGGGACAGACTACTCTGTCTTCTTCGCACTGTCAGAAGAAGATTGTTCATTGAGGGGTACCGTGAGACATGTGGTAAGCAAGAAAATCACCATTTCTCGTGTTAACAGAGAGAAGAGACTCGATTTTGTCGGACAAAATTGCATTGGGGAAGAAATGAGTGGGATAATGTCATTTTCAGTGATGAGACACAAGTCCAGATCGGGATAGACAGAAAAGTTTATGTGTGGAGAAAGTCGCATGAGCGGTTACGCCCGATTGTTTGGGGGTTCGTACCGATCATGAACGAAATCAAGTTTTCAGTGATGTTTTGGGTGTGTGTGTCTGCGTATGGAGTGGGAACTTTAACTGTCGTTGATGGCAACATGAACACTGATAAGTACATTGCCATTCTTGATAACCACTTGTGGCCTGTAGTTGCCAGGCATTTTGTCAACCGCAATTGGATTTTCCAAGAAGACAATGCCCCTTGTCATGTGTCCATTCGGCTAACCGTTGGAAACAGGAAAATCATATTCCGACTTTGCCGTGGCCCCCACAAAGTCCAGATCTCAATATCATTGAAAATGCATGGAAAACTGTTAAATATCAACTCAAAGCCAGATTAGGTGACATTAACTCCAGACAAGATCTCATCCGTGTGGTGAATGACATTTGGACTGGGCTTAGTCCCGTTTACATTCGTCGTCTATATGACAGTTTACCAAGACGACTCCGAGATGTCCTAAGAGCACAGGGTCATATCTCTAAATTCTGAAAATTTGAGGTGAGTACCTTTATTATTTACATAGATACGCGAATTTTAAAAGGGGACCCGACTCCGCTAGAAATAGCCGTGACGTCACCGGTGCGAACAGACTTTTGGCCAACTACTGTAGGACAGCTATGCACGTGACAGGTATGAAGAGGTGTCACAGGTCGTGAATAGGGTAAGGTGGGTGCCAACTGTTAACCATCATACGGAGTTTGTTTCTCTGAGTTGTTCAACATTAACCACAAAACCCATTAGTGAGAATTATTCTGTAGGTTAAAATCTTTAAATTTGTAACGTTAATGTGATATTTTGTTTATGCAGTACCTAAGTGGAAATGCATTTAAAGAACACAGAAAGTATATTTACACTAAATCATTAATCGGACCACCTATGGTTAGAACTCAACAACTGTTAAAGCCCCGTTCCTCGGACACAAGCACACACAATCATGCACACTCATTGAAGAAAAGATAGAATGAAGACAAAAGTGTTATGTTTTGATGTCGTTCACATTCCAAATTAAGCAATGCATTTCTAATAGCTTTAAGCATATAGATAGTTAATATTTATATTTTCATGATAATTTTATGTGAAATGAGTGTTTCATGTTACACTATAAGTCGTTGGAATTAGTCAGTGCTGTCACTGTTAAAAGAAGTTATATTTCTTTGAGCATATCTGGCTGGATACTATTATTATCTGTAAATATAATAACAGAATTAAACTTCATCAAGTTCACTCCATTCTTCCACAGAGGAGTCATCAGTGTCCAGACGAATGACAACTGGATTAACTGTTTGCTCCTTCAAGCCATCTTTGAGCCAGTACTCTTTCTCCACCTTCTTGACATGTTCAACACATGCATGCCAGCGTGCAATGTCAATGTCACATATAGCAGTGTTGACAATGTGCTTGACATCATTCAACTTGAATAATTGATTTTTCCGGGCCACTGTACTTTTAAGGTCTCCCCAGATAAGTTCGATTGGATTGAGATCACAGTAGTACGGTGGTAATCTCAAGACCTTATGGCCGTGTTGGCATAGCATGTTGTCAATGTTATATGTGGGTGGAGGTTTGTTAGGTTTAATCAAAGAGTACAACTGTGGTTTAGTGGCCTTAATTGAAAATTGTATATTGTTATTTGTTAGCCATTGCTGCATATCTGACTTCTTTGTATTGGAAGTTGGGCACCTATTGTTTGGATCTCGAACACTGTGATAGGGAGCATTGTCCATGACAAGAAGACTTTTGTAAGGCAGAGCTGGCAACAATTGTTCCTCAACATACTGTGTGAAAACCGTTGAGTTCATTTCTGTATGATAGTCCCTACCATCTGTGCTCTTTGACCGAAATACCAGATCACACCCAGGTAGGAATCCACGGTGGGAACCAGCATGAAGAACGATTAAACGTTCACCTTTGCCTGTTGGTATTTTCCTACCATCACTGGGATCAGTGGGTAGCCACTGTCTGGCAGCAGTATGGTTTGCATTGACCCAGGTCTCATCCAGATATATGGGTTCGAACCCATCCTCTCTTGCCTGCTTAATTTCTCTCACATAGTCAACCTTATTTTCACATTATCAGATCTCTCACACATTACAAGTTTCTGGTTTGCTACCTTCTTGTACTTGTATCCAAATTTGAGCAGTAGTTTGCTTAGCATAAACCTAGAAACATTAATGTCGTGATCCTCTGCAAGGATGTGTTTTAACTTTCTTGTGGACAGGTGTTCATTTCTAGCAAATAGCCGCCGAATGACATATCTGATGACCCTGATGTCAAAAGAATCTAACTTTGGATGCCTACCTTTTTGTACAAGGTTTTGTTTATTGGTTGTTGGTTTATTTTTCACAATTTTTAGCACGATGTTCTTTTTCATGCCAAGAGCAAAAGTTGTACGTTTCATGTAATCCGACACCTTATAAATCGGTTTGCTACGTTTGCTCTCTTTTTAAAAAAAATTCAACACATTTCTAATTAAACGCTTAGCATCATCTGAATAAGCTTTCATGATGACAGCTAGAAGTAGTCAATGTGAATGATCCAAACGGTCTATCACTGTGCAGAGCACAGGTAACTATCATGAACTGCACATGCATTTCCCTTTATGACCCAACACTGCCGCTGTTACAGGTCATTGGCTCCCTCCTTCTGCAAGCCATCTGCGTTCTGCTGTTTATTTTGTTGAGAGTTACATAGACAGATTCTTTAATACAACTGCATAAAATTGGTGATTTACAATGTGATTAGGTTGTCTGACAAAACATCCACTTGCACAGTTTGAGATCGATTGGTTATTGGATGAAGAGATATTTACAAAAAAACGGGTCCACATGCATTTCATGCCAAACTATAGTCGTCTACATCAAATTGTCTTAATGACAGAGATACACTATTTTCACAGTCATGTTTTATTCAGACTTTTAGCCACTAAATTTAAGACATTTCTGTGAAAATTCTAAAGAACAAACCCAACCAAACTATTCATCAAAATGACACCTGTAGTTTACCTGTCCAAAATCCATACACAGGTGACTGCAGTCGGGTTTGGTTTCAATGGCATCAATATGCAAATATGTACTCTCAATGCAACTTGTATTGCATCTGTGCAAATAACTAGATGAAACATAGTGACAGGCTGGTGTTCAATAGGGTTAATATACAGGTACATAGCTCCCCACATTTTTGTGGCCATGACATCATTGTCACCTTGGCGACAGCAACTAAAACGTCCTAAAGGCTGAATCAAGGTTAAAATTCAGAATAACACAAATGAAGGAACATACACAAAACGTGACAACACCTGATCAAATTTTCATTACATTATGTGAAAGGATAGCCAAATAAAAGCCATTGATAAGTTTCAAAACATGGCCACCACAGCAGCCATCTTTAAAATCAGATTGAAATGCTGCGAAAAACATTTTAGACACAATAACAGAGACCATTCAAGCAAAACTTTGTATACATAGGACAGGCAGTTTAGATGAGATGTGGAAAGTGCAGAAGACAACGACAGACTGATGGATGGACAACCTGCCATGATAAATGCATGAAAAGTTGACTTTGAGGAAATTTCTGTTATGAGAGGAAGGGAGGTAACTCTAAAGCTAAAGTACTCAGTTGCCAAAAGTAAGTTTGTTCTCTTCACATGACATATTATCCCATGTTGACCTTCAGGTAATTATTTCTGGCCAATGTCAGATCCAAAAGTCATGTGTGTCAGACCTGTGAAGATACGGGTTAGAATTAATCTTCAACAACCCATGCTTGTCGTAAGAGGCGACTAACGGGATTGGGTGTTTCGGCTTGCTGACTTGGTTGACACGTCATCCGCAGGTCGATGCTCTAGATGTTGATCACTGGATTGTCTGGTCCAGACTCAATTATTTACAGACTGCCGCCATATAGCTGGAATATTGCTGAGTGCGACGTAAAACTGAACTCACTCATGTGTGTCAACTCGTATCACAGACATGCTGTGTGTTGTTTAACACCAGTAATTTAGCAATATTTCAAGGATAGAACGGCAACCTCTAATCTAAGAAACTCAGACCAGACAACCAGGGGTGAGACATTATAAGCACCACCTCATGCCAGCAGTGACCAGGGCCCCTTTCCACAAAGCAATCGTAGTGCTAAGATGATCGTAACTCTCATAGACTTATGACTGTCATTGCACTACGATCACTTGAGGAACGGTGCCCAGGACCACCTGATTGACTGGTCACCTCTTACAACCAGTGTAGGTAGCTGAAGACCAGCTATTCCTGGTATCTCCACTGACTGACCGACCAAAGACCAAACTCACCTCTACTGTGACCACCCTGACTGATGTGTTACCAATGCCAGGGTCAAGGCAGGTCGCTGAAAAACACAGAAGAGCATCACAGTGGCTTTGTATACATGGACTGAAGCAGTACAGTTCACTCTACCCCATGTACAGTGTTACAATTATTTTCAGGTTTCAGGGGCAGGAGTGTTAGACTGTGTGGATAACATGGACAACAACCAATGTTGACAGAAATTCAAAGGTTAGTAACTTCCCCTAAAAGATACTAGACACAAACATCATAAGAAGAATACTTGACTGTAATGTTGTATGGGAGTGTTATTTATTGTGCTTCAAGTGCATTACACTGTTTCTGTTGATATTCACAATGGGCAGTTATGGGTGCTATATTTAGACAGAATTCTGGAAGGTACTACAACCTCATCAGACATTGTTTGCCTGGCATGAGCTTCTATCTATCCTCTGACTTGCCTGGGGAGATGTGCTTCACCTTTCCTGAATACCCAGTCTCCTCACGTAGTTCCCTGACTGCCGTCTCCTCCGGGGTCTCCCCCTTGTCCACCAAACCTGCAACATGGAGCTGCAACATCACAACCGTTCCTGCAACATGATACCCGTGAAGATCCGGGTTAGAATTGGTCATGCTTGTCACAAGAGGAACCTAAAAGGATTGGGTGGTCAGGTTTGCTGTCTTACCATAAGAACCCTCTTACTTACCTGTTGGGAACTCATGCATGTAAGCCTTCACCGGAGGTCGGTACTGTTTCACTATGAGAACCCTTTGACTCACCAGCTGGGAACTCTAGCATGTAAGCCTTCATCAGAGTGAGTGAGTGAGTTTAGTTTTACGCCCCAATCAGCAATATTCCAGCTATAAGCCAGTGGTCTCTAAATAATCGAGATTGGAACAGACTACCCAGTGATCAACAGCATGAGCATCGATCTACTCAACTGGGATATGATGACATGTGTCAACCAAGTCAGCAAGCCCGACCACCCGATCCCGTTAATCACCTCTTACGACATGCATGGGTTGCTGAAGACCTGGGTCTTCGCAGGTGCCTTCATCAGAGGTCTGTGCAGTTTTATCATGAGAACTCTCTGACTCACCAGCTGGGAACTCTGGCATGTAAGCCTTCATTGGAGGTTGGTACTGTACAGTTTCACAGTGAGAGCTCTTTGTACTCACCTGCTGGGAACTCTAGCATGTAAGTCTTCATTGGAGGTTGGTACTGTACAGTTTCACCATGAGAGCTCTTTGTACTCACCTGCTGGGAGCTCTAGCATAGTCTTCATTGGAGGTTGGTACTGTACAGTTTCGCAGTGAGAGCTCTTTGTACTCACCTGCTGGGAGCTTTAGCATGTAAGTCTTCATTGGAGGCTGGTACTGTACAGTTTCACCGTGAGAGCTATTTGTACTCACCTGCTGGGAGCTTTAGCATGTAAGTCTTCATTGGAGGTTGGTACTGTACAGTTTCACAGTGAGAGCTCTTTGTACTCACCTGCTGGGAGCTCTAGCATGTAAGTCTTCATTGGAGGTTGGTACTGTACAGTTTCACCATGAGAGCTCTTTGTACTCACCTGCTGGGAGTTCTAGCGTGTAAGCCTTCATTGGAGGTTGGTACTGTACAGTTTCACCATGAGAGCTCTTTGTACTCACCTGCTGGGAGCTCTAGCATGTAAGCCTTCATTGGAGGTTGGTACTGTACAGTTTCACCGTGAGAAATCTTTGTACTCACGTGCTGGGAGCTCTAGCGTGTAAGCCTTCATTGGAGGTTGGTACTGTACAGTTTCACTGTGAGAGCTCTTTGTACTCACCTGCTGGGAACTCTAGCGTGTAAGCCTTCATCGGAGGTCTGTACTGTTTCACCATGATAACACAATCATACTTCAAGGTTCTCTTCAAGATTGGGATCACAAACACAGCTGAAACCAGAAACACAGAATCAGATACACAGTCACAGGCATTAGACAACTTTCATTAGACTGACCATGATGAACTGTGATGATTCAGGGTCATCCTTACACCATGAGCATACTGCATTACATGTTAGTGTAGACTCAGAAATACATCAACAGTAAGGACAACCTGAGGATAAGTAGAAGCAAATGAAAGTTTCCCTCTCTAAATATCCATCAGATTACAGGTTGTAGATAATCAAAATCTTTCAGCTTCACTAGCCTGTCAACTGAACTAAACCTCGTCTTCCTTTGACAGGGCTTCCAATCAGAGACATTGTCTCTCATTTTCAGAAAACAGAGGCTACTTTTTTCTAAAACGTCACACTGCTGCAACTGAAGGCTGACATTTATTGGTTCAAATGTCATGAACCATTCCACTTACAGTAATGTGGCTGCTTAGTTTAAGACAGGATAAAGTTTACAGCACAAAAAACATAAGGCCAATGTAAACACAAATCTGGACTGTTTATTTTATCTAGCTAACTGAAAGTCCTACACTTCTGCATGAATCTCACCATCTGCTTCATCCGCGGAGCCCGTTGTTCTGCACACTGATTCCCATATTCTTACAGCAACAAACAAACAAACAAACAAATATATATCATCATTTCGTAACCTAATTATCATTATCATGTACTTCTTTCAAGACAATCAAATAATTTAAGTAACAAAATCTCTGACAAATAGTTTAAGCAAGAACTGTCCACCTAATAATATATACTACCCATCAAAATTTTAGACTCACTAGTGTAATTGTGGCCACTTACTTCAGTGAACTGTTCTAAACTAGGTTTTGCAAAATAGTCCATACTGTTTAAAGGTACTGTTTACACATGAACTGATGTATTGTAAAACAAATTTGTATCGTTGAAAAAGATTATTGTCATGAGTTCAATCAATGACGAAACTCACTGAAAATTGACGAATTCTAAACAAAATTTTACACCAAAACATAGCTGTTCACATGTACGATATTTGCACGTGCTTTTCAGCAATTTCATGCATGATCCTCGTGCAGTTCATCTGCATAAGGTTTGCAGTTGGTTCCTCCAAGTAAGTGGAGAAATTCATCTTCGATGTAACCATATATGTATGCATAACATATAGTGAGTGCTTTAAGTGTGTTTAACCTTTTGATTGGTAGTATATATGCAACACATTTGAATTTGGAAGGAAAAAAATAATAACTATTCTTTCCTGATTTTCACTTATCATTTGGCCCAATTGTGGACACCTCTTATAACCAGCAAACTTTGTTGGGGAACACTTTAATGACATCTATCCATACCCTGAAAACTGCTGCACAAAACAGTGGTGTGAACATTAAGTGTTTGTCTATGCAGGTGTGCAACATCTTGCTCCAAGTAAACACCCTGAAACATGTCACCCTGTCATCATGTACATACCACCTTGCTGTGACCACCATCTGTTCATGGAAAGTCAAACCCTAATGCAGCAGGGATACAATCGGGCACAATTCCACCATTGCCACGTAGTAGAGGCAGTTTTCCGAATTTTCTTCGTTTCCTAAAGGCATGTTGGTTGGTTTGTTGTTTAACACCGCACTCAGCAATATTCCAGCTATATGGAAGCAGTCTGTAAATGACCGAGTCTGGACCAGACAAGCCAGTGATCAACAGCATGAACTTCAGTCTAACCAATCAGGATACAATGACATGTGTCAACCAAGTCAGCGAGCCTGACCACCCGTTAGTTGCCTCCTGTAACAAGCATGAGTTACTGATAACCAGATCTAACTGGATCTGCATGGGTCCTAAAGGCATATAGAATATCAGGCTTTTTAGAAGTTGTCCCATTCTGGCAAGTGGAGTTACATGATGCACACCTGAATAGTTTATTCCCAACAATTCTACACAAGTATGTGTACACTTAGTGACTACATGAGGCTTACAGTCAGGGTTACCTTTCTTGACCAAGAGGATCTTTATAGGTGATGTTGCTGAGTGACAGCCATTTCCCCCTGGCAACTTCCTGCAAGAATACACAATGTCTTTCAGAAAGTGGTCAAATGCAACATATATGTTAGGGATTACACTTTCTGAACAAAGTACAGATTCTGGGTTTAAGTCCCATCTGGGATTTGACCACACACTCATACTAGTCATAGCAATTAATGGACATAATTGCAATCTGAATCGCTCAGAAATGGGTTAGTGAGTTTAGTTTTACGCCACACCCAGCAATATTCCAGCTATATGGTGGTGGTCTGTAAATAATCGAGTCTGGACTATTGTTGGGAATTGGTTAAAATCTAACAATTGATGATTGGTTCATTACAAGTGATCAATCACTGACAAAAATTGGTTAGCGTGATTTATCAAATTCTCCTGTTTATGTTTGTTAATGCACAAAAAATATAGAAAAAACATGTACATCTTTCGGTGTTTTTTTGCAAATTGCACAAAATGCATTTACAAATTTCACATCTTTAAAGGAGGACTAGCATGTTAGGAGCATAAATTTCCTGGAATCTTTAAGATAATTTCAATCATGACAAGGAACGAGCTTGTAGTACTTATGAAATGTAACAGACAAAACCAACCTTCTGAAAAATGTTGTTAATGCAAACAAGTGTGCCAAAATTGTTTGTGTTTGATTATGAGAAAACATGATTGATTGCTTGGTCGATAAGTCATTGCAACCAATCTTCGATTATTTCAATTCATCGGACCACCACTAGCCTGGACCAGACTATCCAGTGATCAACAGCATGAGCATCGATCTGCGCAATTGGGAACAGATGACATGTGTCAACCAAGTCAGAGAGCCTGACCACCCGATCCCGTTTGTATCCTCTTACAACAAGCATGGGTTACTGAAGATCAATATTCTAACCTGGACCTTCACAGGTAGCGCAGAAATGGAAGTCTAAAGTGATGCAGGTCTCACTTGGTCAAAACTGATACCTCTAGCTCAATACTAGATGGTGATATTGTAACTCTAGACCAACATCTTGTGTGAAACTTTGACATATCCTGCATATTGTACTTCAACAACATATCAAACTATAATACCCCTTGACATCTCAGACAAGAAATACATGACAAATATATCATTTTTCACATGATTTCACAATGCCTTGCTAAGAGTTGCAAATATGATTAAATATCAGCATTCACGCCAGGCTATTACCAAAGAATTACTTTAAACACATCCTTCAAGTTGGCCGCCAGTTTCTATAAGATAATACACACGCATTTTCGAAATCAGATTGAAGATGAATTAAGCAACCAGTAAATCTTCAATATACTATCATGTGTGTTAACAAATACCTGTAATTTATGATTGGGTAAAAGGTACCTGATCATAAGCATTCGTGATATGAAGTTATTCTCTCGTAAACAGGTAACCATGCATTAGATTTCAGCTGAGGGTTAAACCAGCGGGCTCTGTACGAAAACTGATTATTTTGATCTCATGTCGAACTTGAATAAAATTGTTGTGTATCTACCTTCCGAAAACGGGGGTCTTCTATATGCGTCTACAGCAGAGATTGTAGGTAACATATCCCGTGCGGCGTAAAACAGTATTGCGTGTTCTACTTACCTCCTGTTTCACAAACTGGCTCTGGTTTCGTGATTTTGAGCTGAACCCAGCGCTACCGCCGTTGTTATCCATTAGGCGGACTTTAACTTTCTGACCACACAACTTTCGGTTCTGCAAAAATAACTCGGCACTGCACAAGCAAACAGACCACTGACAACGGTAAACTAAACGTGTTTGTACTTCTATGAAACACCTGCCACGTACTAAACAATGTAAAATGCAAGAGGAAGATGTATGCATCAATGTTGCGTGATCATACTGAACAAACACGTTTCAAGAAGCTAAACACTGGGTCACATGGGTGACCTGTGACCTCCGGATGTAAACTATTTTCAACTGCTCGGAAAACTCCGTTGGTTTCCGTATGTCTTCGTACCAACAGACATGTTTCCATTCGTGACCAACTCGTGTTATTCCGGGACAAGCCGAATAGCGGTTACGGAAAGGGGCGAGTGGTGACGAATGACATGTTTCCCGCATGTAAACAATCCGTTACAATCCGTTACCGTGGCAGAGGCCATTTGTGTTGCTTTTAAGGAACAATTCATGAATTAGATGCGAAAACAAACAAAATGTCGAGTTGAAATAATTTAGAAGTACCGATTCAGGTTAGAACGTCAGTCAAAATGTTGATTGAATTTTCCCTTAATGACAAGCATGATTTCACTTTAGTCCGTGCCAAATTTATGCAACCGTATATTTAATAAGCAAGGGCATCCAAATATAGACTGACTGACTGACTGAGTTTAGTTTTACGCCGCTTTTAGCAATATTCCAGCAATATCACGGCGGGAGACACCAGAAATAGGCTTAACACATTGTGCCCATGTGGGGAATCGAACCCGGGTCTTCGGCGTGACGAGCCAACGCTTTAACCACTAGGCTACCCCACCGCCCCTCCAAATATAGAATTCATATAGAAGATCCGGGGAAGAATAGGTCTTCAGCAACCCATGCTTGTCGTAAAAGGCGACTAACGTGGTCAGGCTCGCTGACTTGGTTGACACGTCATCGGTTCCCAATTGCGCAGATCGATGCTCATGCTGTTGATCACTGGATTGTCTGGTCCAGACTCGATTATTTACAGACCGCCGCCATATAGCTGGAATATTGCTGAGTGCGGCGTAAAACTTAACTCACTCACTCACTGTTCAGAGAGCGGCCAGGCCTCCTCAAACCCAAATACGTGTATGTTAATATCACACGCACACGCACGCACGCACGCACGCACGCATGCAAGCATACACGTTGTCACATAACTGCAGCAGGAGAATCTGAATATACGCGGGTTGCTGGGGTCTATATTAGTACCACAGATTCACGCGACTTCCATGGAAAATAGTACGAAATGGATATTATAGCAGGAGGATAGGAATTAACGAGACGAGTATTATTTGTCACTCCTTCATATATAAACTTATACATGCCCACGCTGGTGAAGAGGTTAGTCTAGTCGTTAAAGGCTTCGCTCGTCTCGCCGAAGACCCGGGTTCCATTCCCCACTGGGTTACACTGTGTGAAGCCCATTAATTCTGGAGATATTGCTGGGAAGGGCGGATACAACCTTTTGAGAAAGGGGCCGCACACTTCGTTTGCACCCGTTTTCACGAGAGTTTCAATGGTCATTTAATAATCTTTCAGGATAAAAGAGGGATGCGCACCCTTGCGCGCACACACACACACACACACACACACACACACACTGTACTTTTAACCTTTAGGTCAAAAGGATTATATTAATTTATTTAAATACGCTTACTGACGGGTGCATGATGTATATTTATTGTTTAACTCCGCACTAGCTTACCCAATCATAAATTACAGGTATTTGTTAACACACATGATAGTATATTGAAGATTTACTGGTTGCTTAATTCATCTTCAATCTGATTTCGAAAATGCGTGTGTATTATCTTATAGAAACAAACACGTTTCAAGAAGCTAAACACTGGGTCACATGGGTGACTTGTGACCCCCGGATGTAAACTATTTTCAACTGCTCGGAAAACTCCGTTGGTTTCCGTAGGTCTTCGTACCAACAGACAATGTTTCCATTTGTGGCCAACTCGTGTTATTCCGGGAGAAGCCGAATAGCGGTTACGGAAAGGGGCGAGTGGTGACGAATGACATGTTTCCCGCATGTAAACAATCCGTTACAACAGAATAACTCAAAACATGTGGAAAGATGTACTTTCCAAATAGTGGGCTGACATCTTTTCATACTAATTTCCCTTAAAACTCAGTAAATACAACAGGCTTTTGTTAATCAGCTTCTGTTCTAGCAGAGTTCTAGTAATAACACCCATCTATTTATGGGCTGATATGCTTTATATTTAGTTGCTTTTTTTCAGACATCTAGGTGTTTTCTATTGGTACAAGCCCCAAAATATCTGTGGACATAATACTGAACATGCCACAAGACAAACCCTGAAGTCGCCAGCAACAAGATAATATGTCAACCGTGGCAGAGGCCATTTGTGTTGCTTTTAAGGAACAATTCATGAATTAGATGCGAAAACAAACAAAATGCCAAGTTGAAATAATTTAGAAGTACCGATTCAGGTTAGAACGTCAGTCAAAATGTTGATTGAATTTTCCCTAATGACAAGCATGATTTCACTTTAGTCCGTGCCAAATTTATGCAACCGTATATTTAATAAGCAAGGGCATCCAAATATAGAATGCATATAGAAGACTGAAGTGTCGTGTGAGACAATAAGAATCATCATTCCGACATCCTCAGAGGCCTTGTGGATATTGAGCCTCTGTTCAGAGAGGACCCGTGAAGATCCGGGGTAGAATAGGTCTTCAGCAACCCATGCTTGTCGTAAAAGGCGACTAACGGGATCGGGTGACTTGGTTGACACATGTCATCGATTCCCAATTGCGCAGATCGATGCTCATGCTGTTGATCACTGGATTGTCTGGTCCAGACTCGATTATTTACAGACCGCCGCCATATAGCTGGAATATTGCTGAGTGCGGCGTAAAACTAAACTCACTCACTCACTGTTCAGAGAGCGGCCAGGCCTCCTCAAACCCAAATACGTGTATGTTAATATCACACGCACACGCACGCACGCACGCACGCACGCACGCACGCACGCATGCAAGCATACACGTTGTCACATAACTGCAGCAGGAGAATCTGAATATATGCGGGTTGCTGGGGTCTATATTCGTACCACAGATTCACGCGACTTCCATGGAAAATAGTACGAAATGGATATTATAGCAGGAGGATAGGAATTAACGAGGCGAGTATTATTTGTCACTCCTTTATATATAAACTTATACATGCCCACGCTGGTGAAGAGGTTAGTCTAGTCGTTAGAGGCTTCGCTCGTCTCGCCGAAGACCCGGGTTCCATTCCCCACTAGGTTACACTGTGTGAAGCCCATTAATTCTGGAGATATTGCTGGGAAGGGCGGATACAACCTTTTGAGAAAGGGGCCGCACACTTCGTTTGCACCCGTTTTCACGAGAGTTTCAATGGTCATTTAATAATCTTTCAGGATAAAAGAGGGATGCGCACCCTTGTGCGCACACACACACACACACACACACACACACACACACACTGTACTTTTAACCTTTAGGTCAAAGGATTATATTAATTTATTTAGATACGCTTACTGACGGGTGCATGATGTATATTTATTGTTTAACTCCGCACTAGCTATTCTAGCTAAATGACAGCTGTGTGGAACCCTAACCAAATGAACAACTTGACACTTGTTACGAACCCCACTATGGAAACAGTGTGTGCATTAATAGGAAAATAGACGTGCATTGTGCTTAAGGCTTCCACGGGTACTCGAGTACTCGAAGACGAGTCGGGTTTAGCTGGACTCGAGTCCATTTTCTAGGACTCGAGGACTCGAAAAGGGGAGATAGCTCGAATTGTTGGGTTACTTTGACAGACTGTCTGCCATGTGCTGAGCATGAGCGGACGTTAACGTCTAATATTAAGATAAGATATAACTTTATTATCCCGGAGGAAATTCTTATACACCCAAACTGTCTCAAAATGAATATGTACACAATTCACAAAAATATACACAATAATTACATGCACAAAACGAAAGCTATTTACACAATAAAACTGACATGATATAATTCAATTAACCACATAGATAAAGAGGCTGAATAATTCTAGTTGTTATCAAATGGTGATAATTCAAAATATTTGTTGCGTTCACGAATACTTGATGGTATGAAAGACTGTCGAGCTCTGTTTGTTTTGAGGGAAGGTAATCGACAGCAGCGTCCAGAAAGAAGTACTTCAAAATGGTGAGATAAAATATGTTAACTATCAAATCTAATTTTAGTTGCCTTTTTGACAATCTGGCGCTCATAGATAAAGGGAATATACTCGAACTTTTGCCGGCAGTATTAACAATTTTGAAAAGTTTGTTTTTGTTGCGATCAGACAGACCCCATACCAACATAGAAAATTGTAGGTCAACACACTTTGAATAAAGGTTTGATAAAAACTGTCATTACGGTTTTGTCAATGCCTTGACGATAATAAGGTTCAGAATCAGAAATTAGGCCAATAACAGTGGCGTCATCTGCGAATTTCACAGTAAACACGTCATATATTGACAAGTAACAGTCATTGGCATACAAAACGAAGAGTACGGATGAAGGAACACAGCCCTGTGGAGCTCCAGTAGAGGTTGAGAGGAAAGAAGATTGATAGCCATTGACACTGATATACTGAGTTCTATGTACCCTGAATTCTTTAACCCATCTGATAATGTTTTTATTAACGCCTAGATTAAGTAGTTTACTCCTCACAAGGTGTGTCTGTATGGTATTAGTTGTTACAAGTCTGCAGATGAGAGTAATTATTATACATCGTTTGAGATTTCACTTCTTAAGATGATTAGGTAACTATCTTAACAGACATGGAGAACGATAAAAAATCAAATGTATGGGCGTGTCTTGATCTGGATAATAGCAGGGAGACTCTATAAGTAGGGGGAGTGGTCACTCCTCGGAAAGCTCCTAAGCTATGCCTCGGCTCGTCACGTGACCAGTGCAGCCAATATGGCGGCAGCGTAGTTTTTAAGATTGAGCCCGGTTTATTTTCAACAGCTGATTACATACGCTGAGTGTTGTGACAACTGAAAACCTACACGTAGAAGATAAGTTACCTATTCTGTCACTTCATTTTAAGTCAAATACTTGTTATTAGTGTCAGTATATGTACAGTAGCTTTGTAGTAAAGTTTCAAGTGGGCATGTTGTAGCTCACTGGCTTCAATTCTCAGTACACAGCGAAGAAAGAC